TATTAACTGTGCCAGATTCAAAAGTAAACATTTTACACTAGACAACTTAAAAACAGTCTACAAATCTTGTTAAAAAAATCTGCAGAATCATTTGTATCATTTAAATCAATCTGAAATAGGTCTCTCTCAAATGATGTCACCTTCGACAGATTACCACATGCATGGGCACTTTGGACTTTGGAAATTTTGTGAGGCGCATTGTCTGCACTGTATTTCAAAGGCATTTGGATCAATACATGCGCATGTATAGAACATATGCACACTGCCTGCACACGGACCTACTGGCACTGAATACACAGTCGTAAATTTCCCACAAAGATGGTATCCTTTGAGAGAAATCTGTATCACAAGAACTTCACGATTCATAGTACATGTGTCTCAACTGATTTATTAAGACATTGCTAGATGCATACAGAAGTTGTCCAAGAAGTGGTCTCCCCAAAAAGTCCTCAAGACCGACTTATGACATCCCATGGTATATCCTAACAATTTCAAGTCACCGAAACAGAATATTTGTAAAACAAAACATTTCTGGAGCAGTCCCCGTGGAAGCGACAATCTTACCCTGTCCCAAATGCCGACATTCTTGAGGAAGGACAAGAGATGGTCGTGTGCCTTCATCTTGTCCTCTAGCTGATGCAGAAGGATCAGGGAGGTGGTAGTTGATGCTGAATCTGAGCAAAGAGAAGAGAACACATACCAAACAAAAAAGTCCCCAGAACTGAATTTGGCTAAGGTGGTCAAGAATCCTTGCCACACTTTTGAATCTTTTCAATACTAGCAGGAATTTCTTGTTAGTTGCCTAAAATAAGGATAGGGCATTTTGTACACACATTCCTGTCACAGGGCATAGCAGTACAATTTGATTAGTGCTTTAGGGTAATCTGGTGAGTCTGACTGCATGGGTTGGGCTTAAGATGTCAGAAAACACATTAATCCACGGTGAGCATGACTTCTGACAGATTACTACAAAAATGGAAAATTGGCCCATTTTGGCAAATGGTAGAAATAAAGAGTTGACATGATTATTACAGAGTTGATATGAATATAACATCTTTAAAATGCCACAGTGAAGATTGCTAAGAATATTGAAACTGATGACCAACCTTGGGGAATGGATTCAGCCCAGCGTGGATCTGAGGCAGGGAAGTCATCAATGACCTCCTGACTAAGCTTAGCAACAGTCGCATCAATGGAGGATCCCGTCTCCAAGGAGGATGGAGCAGATGAAGGGAAAAGCTCCTCCACAATAGCTTCTGCTTGGCTCTGCAAAGGGATGCAAGCAAAAATCAACTAGTCAGGACTGATTAGAAGGGACTCTCTTCACATGAAGTGTTTACTCCTCCAAGCTTGTGGATACACACATCCTTTAACACTGAATATTAAACTAATGAAGACGTGCACAGTGGGTGGCTAAGATGTACAGGACAAAACCTTTCCTTGCTGTTGTGCTGCTGAAGTCAACCCTCTCTGGAGTAAGGCCTAGTAAAAATCATGGTAGGTAACACTTGATAAGTTCTACAATATGTGCAGTAACTGCTGAAATGCTTTTCTGATGTGTTACTGACATATCTCATCACTGTGTGGGCAAATTGAGGCAATTTTAATAGCATATACATTGAACCATGGCTGTTGTCCAGTCCATCACAAGTCCTTTAAAAAAAAGTCACAAACTCACACGTAACGGGACACAGAGTGCACTGGAATGCTTCTGTTGCCTTTTATTTAAAAAGCCTGTGAATTGGCATCACCCTGCACGACATGTGATGGACTTGCAATGGACTTAAGGGCACGTGTGATGGACTTGACCATAGCCCTATACCGAACACAGAGTACAGTGCGTGTGACAGAATACCAACCAAGTAGGCAGAACGGCGAATTTTGCTGAACAGTTGTTGCTAACTGCAGAAAAAGCTCAGGGACAGGTCCAGATCATGACACAGACTTCTAGATGATATACTCACCAAGTTCTGCCGGCAGGCATGGAGGAACGCCGCCTTCAGACCCTTGGTCTTGTCCTCCCCGAGGGAGCTGATGTCCTGGGGAGGCGGCGCTGGGGAGCCGAGGATGGAGGACTGGTCCAGCCGGAGGCTCTGCTCAGCCAGCGAAACATCTTGCAAGACGCTGGGCTCAGCCTGGGTTGCAGTGACTGTCACCAGACCGTAGTTGGTGGAGAAGAAGAGGGTTGTTCCCTCACAGTTTCCTATAGCAATGAAGGTGGACATGAACAAACATATGAATTGTTGTCAGCAGTAATGTTGACGAGCCAATCACAAGTCCTGTCACAAGTATACCCACAGGTCCCTTTGGGAAGCAAGTCATAAGAGTCTGAATAGCTTATGACTTGGCTAAAAACTAAATGACTTGTGATCAACTTCCAGGGACTTCTGACAGACTCAACTACAACACTGGTTTTCAGACAGCCTAACTGATAGCTCTGGTTTGGTTGAGAGATTTTAAGAATGGAGTCACTCATCTGACAAAATGACTTCAGGTCATAAACCCTAATTCCCTGAACTTTTTTCCCAGGAACCCTCCTCCGTCCTCCAGAAATTCTCCACAATGCAAAGAAACCAATGACACATTTTTTCTTTACATTAAGATCCAAGAAGCACCAAGCCTCATTGAAAGTAGCAGTGGCTGGGATCTACCGCCCCAATCCTGCAAAATCCTGCACAATGTCTCGGTGAATTTTCTCGGAGCTGGGAAAATAAGAGATAATGAAATTTAAATATGCACACCTGCACCAAGAATGCTGTTCCCAGGTTGGCTGAAATCCACATTGTCGAAACAACAGCTGTTCTCAGTTACACCTGAAAAACAAATCACAAAATGCTCTCAAAAATTATGAGAACAGATGAGATAACAAACTTGGAAAAGTTTGAAGGTGGGTGCATTCTGCTTGTCCATTACAAAGAAAAATTGCTTACAACATGAATTAACCCCTTCACGGTGGCGGGATTATTTTGACTGCGACTGCTGGGCTATGGCATGCCATGAATGGAGGGCTTTGTCCAGCAGCAGGCCCCATTGAACCAGCAGCTGCATGGTGAATAGACTGTATGTGTGGTATGCACTAATGCTCATACAAAGGTGCTGTAGTAGCAGTCATCCGTGTTAAGCAAACAATTCAATATAATTTTAAATATGCTATTTTCGGATGTGCTTTCAGACGACAAACGCTGGCAAGTGGTGAGCAACAGATGGAAACACCACCAATTAGATAACAAGATAATCAGCTGCCAATTTACGTACAGTTTGTATATCTTGTAAAATGCAAGTGAGGCAATTTTTACCTGAGCAGCAAATGACAATCTTTCGGGAGTAGACATGGCAGGCTGTGCCGCTGGGGCTAGCAACCAAGAGACGGTAGTCAAGCAAAGACTCCTCTTCTGAAACCTACACCGGAGCAGACGAACACAAGACCACCTTCAATCCTCTTTCTTAAAAGGTGAAGACTTGGTTAAGTATTTCATTAATATCAAGTTCACTGAAAACGTGGGATATCTGTCGGTGTACACCCAGAAGAAACCATAACAAGATTACCAATAGCATATTTCAGTTGCCCATATCTGCACACGTTGGTTCACGATACAATACATAACTATTACTCCTGCCCATTAGGCCTATAAAGTATTTAACCAATCATCCACGCTTCTGAACGTGTCTGCATAATGCTGCTATTTTTGGCATGGTGCATGATTTAACACTCTCTACCCTTCCTGGTACCTATTTAAACCTAGACAGGGAAAGTTACCAATGATAAAATGCCTTGCCTAGGAACACAATGCCATGCCATTCCATTTGCAGGACCTGACCTGTCTGTGCTTAAACTGAACAACATCCTGAGTTGATACAATAGACTACTGGGTAACTGAACTTCAGACCCAACAACTGATCCAACAACATGGTGTTCAATGCTGACGTGCTTCAAGAGTGCAGGTTTGTGTGGAGAGAGGCCAAAATTCTTTATGGTCAAGCAATGCACATGTTAAACGCCTGGTGTCAGCAACTTAAGTAAAATGTTTGAAAACAAACTAAATAAAAACACCCAAACACATATCTAAAAATCATGAAGAGGCCAGTTGATTATGAAATCATATGTATTTTCATTGGGTAGTTTTGCTTGGTGGGGGAGGGAGGCAGCAAAACCTGAACTTTTGACTTACTTGGTAGGCTGCTGTCAAGGACATCATCTTGAAAGAACTGATTTGATCTGGCCCTCCGCCTGATGCTGACACCAGTGGAATCAAGACTTGTATAGAATATGACGAGTAAAGAATTTTAACATACAATATGTCAAAAGTGATGCCAGTTATGTTCAGGACAAGTAAACAGTTTTGACATGCAATACATCAATGACAATGCCAGTTATCTTCAAGATAAGTAGACAGTTTTGAGATGCAATACATCTATGACAATGCCAGTTATGTTCAAGATAGGTACAGTTTTGACAGGCAAATTTTCAACGGTGATGCCAGTTATGTTCAGAACAAGGGACGCTGAAGCTCCATTGCCAAAATCCCTGAGACAAACAATGGTGAAAATATTCCTAGCATGCTAACGTAAACTTTGATCTTGGTCCTCAGGATTTTGCACTACAAGAATAGCCAAATGCAAAGTGTGGCATACTCCTTAACCCCTTCGCCCCGGGAGATGGTGCCGCTGTAAAAATTGAGATCCACAGCCCGCTTTTCAGCTATTATTCTCGGCCCACGCTCGAGCAAACACAGTGAAAGAAGGCAGACCCTGGCTCTTGTATATATGGTGATAGGCCTTTGGGTGTAGCCCAGAAATGAAAAGACCGAATTTGCTTCATAATCACCAGCTTCACAATAGTCCCCACTTTGAAAAGAGGCAACGGGAATGTGGAAGCGTGAGTAGAGCCGCATGCCACCGAAGAATGAGCCTTTTCACTGTGTAATTCGAAGTGTGCAGAGCACGCAGGGCCACAAACTGAGAATTTGCAGTTTGGAAGGTGGCCTTCGTGGCCAAGTGAGGCTGGAATTCTTGGAGTCGGCTTTCGGAAAAAAAATCCTGTCATCAAGGGGTTAAGAAAACTATGAGGCTGACAAAATTTGCCAAAAACCTTGAATAAAGTACGCTTTTTATGGTCTTGTTGGAAAAAAACACACAGACACAGGGTTAAAGTGCTGGAGTGCCATTAATTGGTATATACCTAAAGTATACATAGAGCTGGCACAGAAAAGGGAGCAGGTGCTAGCGAGGGAATATTGGCCCATGTAATGAGGAAGAAAGGGCATCTTTTTGAAGAGGGAGAAGTTGTACCTTTCCGCACCTTTGTTCTACTTACCAAGAGCATAATGCAGTATCGGGGATGGTCTTGAAGAGTCCGTTGCAGCTACAAGGAGTAGGATACTTTCACTAAGTAGCAGACAAAAAGCACCTTGTCACTCAGGTGTTGAAGTAGGCTTGAATATACTAAGTTCAATTTTTACATTTCTTGAAAATAAATTCCATTATAAAATGCTTTACATATACTCTGTAGGAACAAAAGCAAAACTATTCTTGCAAAACAAAGACACTTTTGTTGTCACCATGCAGGTTGCCAAGTACAGTGCCTGCAGATTGGCAAGTGAGCTATTTATAGCAATCAGCAGATGATGTAACCCTTAATGTATATACTATTCTTGCTTGATGCGTGAATAAATAGCATGGGTTCCTGTCTCTTCCTTGGCAGACAAGGTGCAAACACAACACTAAGCTGTTTAAATTATGAATTCAAGCAAAAGAGACTTACCAGTGCAACCTCTCTTTCAACCCAACTGAGCAAAAGGACCACAGCAGGGACCAAGGTTGATCAGTGACCATTTGTCAACCACTGGCTGATTTTTGCCTGGTAACCTATGCATAAAATATATCCTGGATACAGAGTGAAAACAATCAGTGGCCGACGAATGGTCACTGATCAAACTTGACCAGGGCTGCGCGCGCATGTCATGTGGGAGCAATGAGAAACTGATAACATGGAGGAATTTACCTGATGATCTGAAGGTCCAGCATCCAAACTCTCAGACTGTCCAGCGACGAGCAACTCTGAAGACAAATAAATTATTTATTACAAGTGGGTCAGAACTTGAAAGATAACAGAGAAGCTCCAGAGCCCCGACACTGATGTACATATCCATATTGTATTCTCAGTGTGGACCGTGAGTTGAAAAAATATCACAGCCTTGCTTGAGTTAGATTCAAAATCCACAATATCCAGGTTACAAGTACTAGTCAGTTAGTAATTCATCTTAACAGCAATGCTATTTGCACAGGCTGGTCTGTTAACAAACCCTCATTGACCCTAAACCTCCCAGAAGGTTTAGATGATTATGGAAGATCCAAAACTTTCAGCTCACATGAGGTTTAACGTTCCTTACAAGTTAAATGCCAAAGAATGTGCACTTAGGCCATGTCTGAAACGGGCTTCCAGAGCTATGGCTAGGTCTATTGTCTGCGCCTCTCCACATATTTCCAATGGAGTGAAGACCTAGACCTAGCTCTAGACAACAGAGTCAGACGTAACCGTACTTTCTGCAAGAAGGATTTGGAGGAATTCAGAAAGGTTCCTAGTGAGAATGCCAGGGAAGTTGGGATTAACCATTACAGCTGCTGCAATAATCCGCAAATGTTCATGTGCCAATTGTCCAAACGGCACTCGGCATGTAGTACAAACAGCGTTCCTGTTGATATTCAGCAAATCAATGGTTTTGCTGTATACTGCTAATCAAAACAAAAGTCTTCTAATATCCACACACTTGTCAGCATTTCACAACAGAAATTGCAGCAGTTTTGAAAATCTCAGTCCCATGACAATTTCACTTTAAAATATTGTCCCCAAAGTCATTATAACTATAAAAAAGCCTTCAAACTTAGAAACAACCAAATCGACTATAGCCAAGGAAGAACTCACCAACTGTCTTGCAAACCCCTTTTTGATCATATTGCCCAGCTGGACCTCAAAAACAACCTGTAACATGGCAGAAAACATTCCCATAGGAAAGCCAGAAAATGCACTACTTGAGGAATATATTTACTAATCATTTCATAAAGCCTAAATCAAATGGAACTTGTAATGCACAAATAGCAATTACAAAACAACACTGCCAAGCCAACATACTGCATATGAGTTTTTTACTTTCATACAATTTGGTGCGTTGGTTCATCAAGCACATGCACACTCTACTGATTATGAGCCAAGATAGGACACATTTCTTGTATACCTGCTGGTCTGTGTGTGTGAATGGCACCAATATGGCCGATTCACAATACAGGGAGTCTCCAAGAGGTTACAATAGAAGCCATCATTAATTTTGTCCAAACACAAGGTGAGAAACAGTTGACAAATTGTACTTGCTGATTGCAGGCAAAGAAATTTGAATTATTCCTAATGTTTTTTTCTGAGTAGAAGATTCATAGCTGTATTCAGAGTATCAGTCTTTAATCCTTTCTTCTCTCCATTACATAGAATGCCCTGATCTATCTATCAAAATACGTCCTCAAGTTGTCGACTGACATTCACTCAAATGCTCAAGGCAGCCAGGTTGGCCATGTTTTTACCAACCGTAGTCTTGAAAAATGGCCTCTCTGTGGTGCGAGCACCCTATTGTGAATTGCCCGTATTTCAACCATACAACAAAGCATGCGCGCACTTTCAAAATGAGGCTAACATTCTGCCAACAACTCTAATTCCATGCACAGTTAACTGCTTTGCTCGTGCATCCACAAAGTAAACTTCCAGAATGCTGAGGTTGGGAAATGACTTTGCCACATATAAACCATACAATGCACATCAAGTTGTTAAGTTTTCCAGGAACAAATGGGCATGTACTATCGCCTGGGCTAAATATAGTACACTGTAACTAGTGAGACAGAAAGTTTTGTGACCCCAGGTCATGAGCAACCAATAGGAAATTAGCGCGTCACGCGCGAGACGTGGTTGTCAATAAAAAGGAGCCTAGATGTTTTAGTTGCGTGCCTGGGTGTAGTGTTGAAGGGGGGCGGGAAAAAATGTCAACGGCACAGGGGTGAGTTAGCACAGGCTGCACCAGCAACTGCCCAAATGATTGGGAGGAGATGAAGCACATAACCCAACATAATTGAATGGAGTCCTAGGGATCACAGTGGCGGTTCATTGAAATAAGCAGACTGGTAATTTTGAGCTGTGACTGTGTGTGACCTGTATGTCGACTCTGAAGTCTGATCGTTGTTCTTATTTTTCACTAGAAGGAGATCCCAACCCGATTCATCATTTCACTACACTATTACCTTCTCAGATCCAGGCTCAGCCACGAGCCACTTCTGTAAGATGTCTTCCTGAAGCACGTACAGCACCCCTTGGTCGTCCTCCTGACCTGCCGATAGCACTCTTTGCAGTGTCTATTGAAGGGTCCACAAAAAGATCAGTCAGGATTCAAAGTACACTTTAGACATACCCTGGTCATTTCAATCAACTGCTCTGGTTGGATCAGTTAGTGTAATACAGAGTTTGGATAATTTTTCAAAATTATTCTACAACAACCGAACCAATCCAGTTCACTCATGCCAAGACATTACGAGGGACACAAGTTAAAGACTATTCTAAATTAGGTTTTATGTACAATTAAGTACATCTTGAAAAGCAAAGATGACTTTTGGATTTTGAAAATGATTAGGAATGGAAAAAATAAGAACAAACAAGTTTCTCTGAACCCAAAATCAAATGAAAGTGACACTTACCGACGAGGACTGAGGTCTCTGGGAGCCAAAGAACAGCGATGAGACTCTAGCCAGGACCCCTTGGGAGGGCTTCAGGGGATGACAGCTGACAGCATTCTGGAGATGGGAAACAAGACAAAATGGAAGATTAAAACTCCTTAAGATCACATTGCTTTAATCCATGCCACATCCACAACTAATCCTTTTTGAGTGTTGGTGCCACACAGTGGTTAGTTTCATGAGGCGAGTAACACATGTAACCGTGACATGAAAGAACAAAAACAAAGAAACCACATTTAGAACTTGCAGTTGAGTTATGCCGACACGGCAAACTGTCATCACAGGCTGAACATTTTGAATATGACTCAATAAAACTCTACAAAAGGCAGACTCAGTAATACTTCTTGCAAATTCAGATACTCAAAAAAAAATCCTCCTGAAGTGATTTCAAGCAACAGGTTTCCATTGTCTTCTCAGAAAAACAAATGAATCAACCAGGGAAATAACCTGACATAAATTGTAAGTACCCACACTTGTGGCTGCTAGATCTCAATCTTGGGGCTTCTTTTTCAGAGTGACTCATAATGTTCAGAGACACGTTGTCACTCACCTGGGTGCTGGATTCAGCCAGGCTAAGCAACAAGAGCTGATTGGTTGTGGTGGCTAAGATGCATCCATAAGGCTGGAGAGAGTCAAAATAACTATATTTAGAAAGCTCATTTGGGCAGAATACACAATACCTGTAGATGGCTACCTGCACCATGAACATGTCAAAATGGGTGAGCCTGTGTACTGTGCTTCTGTAACAAAACAGCAAAGGAAAAAAACACCTGTTGTCGGGACATCAACTTTATGAATGCCGACAAAAAAAAGTAACTTCAACCAATTTTGGTAAATGCAAATATTTTACTGCAATTTGAACCGATTCCTTAGTGATGGGGAATGGGTGGGGCTGGGCTTAGTATCATGGGAAAAAGATGACCTCAGTTTCTGGTAAGCGCAAATGGTTACCTGGCTAGAGGGGGATGTACGGCTTTAGCAAGTCTTTGGAGCGTACACATGTAAGTAATCAACAGCAGGACAAGTTGACTGTGTAGGTGGCCTCTTGGTGCAGCACCACACCTTCTTTTCTTCTCAATACGTACCTCAAACTGCGTCAGCGAGAAACACTCTTCCCCGTTCAGGTCTGCACTGCTCTCTGCGTAGGCCCCCTCGCTGGCAATGCTCGGCCAATATCGGATTATCCCCTCCGGGGACGCAGCCATGACTGAGACAGTCTGGCTGTCCGGGGAGGCAGGGATCAGACAGACCAGCTCGGCCTTGTGGGATAGTTCACTCGGTGGCAGGGCTAACTCCTTACAGAAGGTGGCCTGATCAAAACAAAAGGAATTAGATACAGTTGTACCTTTAAGGTAAATTTGCCTCATTTCAAATTTGTGAGAGGAACTTCATTTACATGGACATGAAAGTAAAACACTTACACAGTAAATTCAAGAGTAATTGCCAACCCCAAAGATAATTGCCTTTTGGTAAATATACTCTCTTCAAAGACCTTATTAAATAAGGATTTGTTGGGTGGCTGAAACTAAAGCGGTACAATTTGGCCAGATCCCATGAAACGAGTTGAAACCAGAAAGTTCACATCTGTACCTTCCAGTGCAGTGGTGTGAAAATTTCACTGCAATAAAATTGAATATTCTATTTTTCCACATTTTGGGTCCAGTTACATTTTGGTTTCAGGCTAGGTCTTCAATCTCCAATTCCTTTTGCAGGACGTACCTTTTCAAGAATACCAATTATCTGCGTGTCCCTGTCCAGTTTTCGGCTGGAATGAAAACAATCAAACGCGCACCCACCTTTGCGAATGTGTGCTTGTATCGCCATACAAAGAGTCTCCTACCGCACACTACACAAGCCCAGCCTGATGGGTTTATCCGCACACTCATACTAGCCGAACCTGTCATAAAAAACACTCCACATTGTCAGTAAAACTTTGCAATTTGTTGGGAGAAGAGTTTTTACTTTTTCTGTATATTCTTTTGCCTGAGGCATTTTAACCAACACAACAACTTGAACTTGCTTCAAACTTACGGTCTGCCATAGCCAGGGCCTCAGTGATGAGGACTGGAACAGAAGAGCCATAATTCTCCACAGTGTATTGTGCTGTCTCTGCAATCACTGAAGTCTGTAGGAATGACCGGTTCCCGAAAGCTGGACTTCTGAAAAGTAATGTAAATACTGTTCATGCATGTACATGTACATGTATGGAAGAGTTCGATATCCAGATCATCAAGCGTTTTCAAAGTAATTGCTTCAACATTTTCTCTGCTAAATTTAACACTGTAGGACGTTATCCCTTTTTTGATGGCTAATATTATAAACCACTGCAGAAAAAGATGATGACCGATGGAACTCTTACCGATTTCAACTTGTGCCTCAACAAATTGTCGAAAGAACTTTGGAGGCTTTGTAACCAGCAAAATGTCCTACAAAGAGGCCACAATAGTATATATAGGCTATTTCTCAATTCTTACTTTCAAATAAGTGCAAACATGGCAACAAAAAACACAAGCCAAAACTTAAGCAAGTCATGCACGTGCTGCAGTAGTGCTGCCCATTCTCCAGGTCGAGATGTTATCACTGGGGCTTGTTTTTGTCTCTGACTGGTCAGTGGTGGCTGTCCTAACACGACATGTACATCTTCTCATTAATATAGCTAAACTTTCACTATAGAGCCTGAAAGTTGACCCCTGATGGCGTGTATCCAGGACCCTTGGATAGGAAAAATAACGCACAAAGATTTTAGAATTTGTAATATTTTTTCATTCAATTACTTCTTAGAAAATCCAACTCGGAAAAGGGGCTTTGGAAAATATTTGCTAGTACATGTATATCAATTTACAGAAACTAGAAAACCACCTGACCTAAAAGAGAAATATCCTGCAAAAAATTAACCCATCACTTCCGAAAATCTAAATTACATGAAAAACAATGCAATGCGGCAGTTTCGTCTACAGATAAACATTTGAAATTATATGGTAGTCTGTCGGTAAAAGCTGAAATAAAAGCAGATCAAAATATTTACACACTTTTATAAGTTGCAGGGTAATAAACATAAAGCAATATTGTACTTTTACGAAAGATTCTAATATTTTATCTGACCTTTGCTAACAACAACTGCGTGATGTCAACTCAACGGAATCTGGAACCCATCAACTGTAGGTAGCTAAATCTTTGCAAAGTTGTGTAATCTCGTTTTTCAAGAAAGCACGGCGAGTGAAAACAAACGTGCATGAACAAGGAGACGTAGGTACAATATCCCCGGATGTGAAAGGTCGTTAATAAATTTTTTTTACCCATCTCCAGGTGATAATACATGAGAAAGACAAAGGTAAAATTCTAACATGAGTTTTTCATGGGGGGGGGTTTCAGTAAGGAATTATTCTTCCCAAAATTATCGAACATGATAGGACGGCCAATGTAAAATCCCCATAGGCAGACATTGAGAGGGTCCTGGAAGCGCGCTGTTTGACCTTTTACTTTCAGGCTCTATTGTATAAAATGCATTCAAAGTATCTCCCATTGCCAATGTGTTCACACTGTGTAAAAAATTAAAACAAGTAATTTGCTGTACATGTACATACGAATTGACTGGACATGATGGAGGGCTGCCCCTTTCATGCCTTTGCTTGGACTGCATTGGTTCAAAAGCCAACTTCAAGAATGACAAGGAAGCCATAAGCACTGATGATAATACTTCTAAGTTCGACAAGGGAAAATGCATTTAGCCTAGGTGCGAAACTGTTTAGCCTACGCTATCTCCAGTTTCTCCCGATCCCAAGGTGTACCTTGTTCCTGGAAACGGCGACCGCCTTGAGGCGGCTGCAGTACCACCGAAAATCCCCGCGCCACTTCTCCGTGTCTGTGATGAGGCGGTACCACCGATTCGAGAAACTCGGCCCGTGCTGAACGGGGTGTATTTCCCCTTTGAGCTGCCACTGCGAGGAGTGTACATTCTTTGATCTGCCAACTTTGCAATGACTCAAAATTTTCAAGTCACATTTTCTTTGATTTCTGGAAAATCTATAGGAAATTCACGAACGAATTACTCCGTTTGTTAACTCCCGCCATGCATAGTCAGATAGGCCATGTGCGCGTGCGACTGTGCCCAACAAATGAGCCCTGGAAAAAGTGCATCTGATTGTAGCAATTCTGGTGTATTGGTATAGTCAGTGCCCTTTTATAACGGGGTCTACATTGTTTTGCAACAACATTTTGCGAGCGATACAGCGCCACCAAGATTTGACCACGGACCCAATATTCACGGTCTGAAAGTGAGAGGAGTACAGGGAACGTGATGGAGAGAGCAGAGAACATTGACCCATGGATAGAGCAATCAGTTTCTCCACCACTGGGAAAGTCTCATCGAATCTTTGCCTTGTAAAAATATATTCCGGATTTAAAAAGAACATCGAAATAGGGATCAGAGCAATGATGCCCCGCTGAGATTTAGGTTTCAAATACCCCAAAGTGAACTAAAAATTAATGCGTGAGTATTTGGTTCGTAGTTAGGGCAGTCTTTTCAAGGCAGATGATAAAGCCAAGAAAAGCTAGCCTTGTCCAATCAAACAGTTAATCACGTTATACTCTTTTATTAAGCCACAATGTGACTTAACAAGTTATTTTTCTTGTAGACGAAAAATAAAACAAGCCCTGTAGCGGGGTGGGTAGGTTGGTTTGATGCATTGAATAAAGAAAAGACTTCACAGTTTTGATCGAGAACAACAATGAAACACGACTCGCTAGATGAGGTAATTAGTTGCTGTCCTTTCGTGCGGTCCCATTTATGTCATGTCTACTGTGACCGCAGATAATTTACGTATGCAGGTGTGCTCATTCTCATGTTTTGGAACATAGCTGATACCCTGAACATAGTTTCCAACACTGAGTTTGCGGTAGACTGCGCACTGAATTATTTCTTGTGGGATGGCATTTTTGCACCAGTGTAAAATCTTGGAATGTCAAAGGGATCAAATTATTGTTATGTCAGCCTTGTTTTGCAGCACACCGTCAGTTGGGCGGCCTATCATGGGTATACAGTCATGAGTCAAATATGCGTACGGAATTGGCAATTGTCCATTGGTCTTGATCTATCAGTAAGATCTTACTTTGGTATATCAGTTCTTCATCCAAGCAGCGTGTGAAACTCATGGAATTCGCAATTCAACACTGACAAGGGGGATGCGTTAAAAGCAGCTCACCGTTAGACAAAGTCTCTGTATCTCCGCAATTGATTCCAAGCAGAGGGCCGAGAGAAATCGATTGGTCGGCTGCTTTGAAGGTCAGTTAAAAAAACCCGAATTTTATGTTCAGTTCTGAAGTGCGGCACTACGTTTTCGCCATTAACTTTGCTGATTTAAAGTCTGGATGCCTCGCTTACTTAGAGTGCACCGGGAACTTTCTGTAATTAATTGTGGCCGGGCCTGGGAAAGCTTGACGTATGATCTGTTTTCTCTCGGCTGTGACTGAAGATCCGACATGATGGAAGTGTTGATGCAGCAGCCAGCGGAAGCTCCAGAGATCCGCGTTGAGAGCGACGATGCAGACGGTTTACATCCGATGGAGATAGAGGAGGAGGTGGAGCCATATGAAGAAATCAGCAGGGCTCTCGTTGAGTAAGATGTGTTGCATTTTTTTTCTGACAGCAGAAAAAGGGAGAGGGTATTTACTAAAGAAAAAGTTACGGTGGTAAAAGATAGATGGCAACCACAACAGCGTTAATAATGACGAAAATGACTGTTGTGACGACATGATGAGTGCTGCCAACAACTTTGAAGTCGTTGATGATCAAGTTAATGTATAATGACCGTGGAGATGGTGGTTTTGCAATGTGACTTTGCCGTCATTACGCCGTGCATGGTGGTCATGATGACATAGCTGATGCTAGATCATGGGGAGGTGATTATAGGGATTTGAATGACGGGGATGCAGTTGGTTGAAGTGAAATGACAATCTTATGAGGATAAAAAAAAATGAGAAGAGTGATAACGATAACAATGACGAAGCCTTCTTCTTGTAGCGGTTCTGTAGACTGAGCATTTGGGGGGATTTATAAAAGAACTTGCCATTTTCTAAAGACCCAATTTTTAGAAATTCCATGAAGATTCGTGACATTTTGAGAAAAATAAACTCTCTTACCACTGGGAAAAACAATTCTCGATAGAGTCGAAACACTGGGAAAATACTGAGAGAGTTCGGAAAAGTTGCTCATTAAAAAACGGTTTGTCGGTGGTAAATTACATCGCTGGGGGTTAAAATGAAACAAATTCAATGAAAAGTCATAATTGAAAACATCCATTTTATTTTTGTTAACTTAGAGAAGGCTTTTGATGATTTCGATAGCAGCGGGAAAGCTCTGTATGATGATGATTATAACGAAAAATGCTAAATAATTTTGTTGAAAGTTTGTTGAAAACTACAACATAAGCTGCTACAATGGGGAACGGGTGTTGATGTGTACTGACACAAGGTCGAATCGGGCCTTCTTGCGTAGGCCTAATCACAATCTATTGATGAGGTGCATGTGTTTATAGCAAGCTTCAATTCTTTCTAGAGTGCATTTTTTGTTGCTAATTAGACGATGCTGGCGGTCTATATTTCTCTGTATATTTTACGTATGGGCTCTCTGAAATTTATGGATTTCATTAGCAGCAGACATAAGCTCTTAAAAAGCAAACACAAACATAGCAGACATGCACGTAAACACTCCTAAATGGTATGACCGAGTGAATGGCGTAGACGCATATCATTCGTCAGTTATTACAACAATGCCACGAATGCGTATAGCGAATATCGACTTCTGCCGAGCCCGCCGGGGCCATGCACCCCGTGGAATGATTGCCATAACTGGCATATCCACAGGGGATAACATTCCGATATCATTATCATAATCACCCCTGCCTTGATTTATGGGTTTGGTCGAGAAACATGTTTATACAGCTCATGGTTGTGTGGATTTCACCAGCGCCTCCGTGGACCACACTTTCGAAATTTTCATTTCAAAGTTTTGTGAACTTTAATACCTCTATTTACATGTACTTCTAGTTCTACTCTACTAGACAAAATCACGTGAAAACGCGCCCATGGCAATTATATTGTGGAGATTGATTCCATGCGCAGTAACTGATTTGACGAAACCGGTGTTTATTCTATTACTCCACTGACGCAATGGAAAAAGACCATGACTAATTGAGTAGAAAAGATAATTTTTATTCACAAAGTATCCTCGCTTTTTAGTTTGCTCTGTTGTGGTGACTGCGTGAGAAAGTTGTCTCCTTTAGTCTTCAAACGGAGTCAAGTCACTCTTCCGGTCATCTAAGAGGGCAAAAGAACAGAGCAAGACATCCCACAGACGGCCTGATCGCGTTACATTACAATAGCACCATGCAGTGCCACCCCGTCGTTGGCTGGTTTCTGTCTTGGATCAGGTCCAAGATCAACAGAAGTAGTTTTTATAACACGTTATCGGTTACGTAATCCACGTAATCGGGAAAATTTCTAAATTTTAAATGGACCTGCCTATGAGGAGGGGCCAGGAAACCTGTGGGCATGAAGTCACAAATCATAGCAGGTGCAGATCCGGGGAGGGGGGCAACCCCTTTGTTCATTGCCTTTTTTTCTTTTTAGGTGTGGGGGCTGCGTCTGAAGCTTGAAAGACCCCCTAAAAAGCATTAACCATGTATGGGTCTTATTTTTTGCGTGTATACAAAACAAAGAGATTACAGCGACAATATATTCCCCCCCCCCGAGTTGTAGACTCGAGTCACTTGACTTGGACTCGAGTGGCTGTTTTTGTGACTGACTTGACTTACAACTATCAGTTTTTAACTTATGACTTGACTTAGACTTGCAAAAAATGACTTGTTACCGCAAGGCAAGTCACAAACCTACTCAATCGAACCCGTTAAAGTTTTAAATTAGGCCTATTAACTTACACCTTGCGTTCTTAAAATGATCAGCGTAAGATTTCGTTCGGCTCGTGACTCGACTTCGGTCTTGTCTGCCCAAGTCAAGGACGCTCCTGAATCGCGTGGCTGTGGCTTGAAGTCACACATCGTGCGACTTGACTTGTACTTGGACAAAAAGACTTGTGACTTGACTTAACCTGTGATCAAAGGACTTGTGACTAAATGACCTGGTTTAGACCTGCAAAACTTGACTTGTGTCTTGACATGGACTTATTAAAAGTGACTTGCTACAACCTCTTCCCCCGTACGAACAACAATTTCCCGAGAAGCCTCCCCAGGAAAAGAACTCCTGCATCCGCCAGTCAAGTTTGATTCGATGTATCATTATCACTGGTTCCAGATCTTTAAGTTGTGGAGAGGGGATCATGCATGGGCAGGGGGTCGAAGTTAAACCTAAATTTCGCCCTGAGTTTGTAAAATTTTATTTTCGGATATTAAAGTGAGTCTTGATTCTTAGTGCATCATAAATATAAGGATGCATGCGTTGTTTGGAACGATCACATTTGTTTTTCATGCGTAAGAAAACCCCTCACGTCACGCCACAGATAACCTTGCAAAAGGAGAGGTACCGTCGTGGAAAAGTACATGTTCCCTGTCAACACCAACTTAAGTTGTTAGGCCTATCGAGCTCATTCATACTCGTGCAAGTGCTGCGTACTTCCCGTCCAATCCTTGCGTCTTGTCCATGTCAGTGCTCTTTTGGGCCCATACTTCAACTTCAAAACCGAATGTGATAAAGCACATTCTATATACATGTATGTGTAGACGTACAGTCATGCTGGGATTTCAGGTCTCTGGATCTGTCCAAGATTCTTTCCTTTAATGCATCCATCTGAGCAAATCCATCAGTTTTCGGTAGGTATTCGCCATAGATAGAAAAACTTTTACTGCCACTTTCCTTCACAACTCATGCCTTGTAACAGCTGTGACCTGCAAACTGACAGTTTTGACTGAAAACCGCCAATTGGCAACCCGGGTTTCTTTTACTCTCATCCCACGGCGAACTCATGATGAACTCTTCATCCTTTCAGCCTTAGATGCCAACATGAGTGTCTGGTGAATGACCAAATAAACCCATCACGCCGGGAGAAGACCTCCCACGGGGCCGCTTTTACAGATTCTCAATCAAAATACAAGCTCAAGATGCGCCAAGCGGAGATGGTAAAAGCCCCTGTGTTTATTATCAGTTGCCACCTAATGTGGCGTGAACTCGAGTAACCGTCCGTCAAGGCAAACATGTAAGAGTGTTGTGTATTGCGATGTGACAACCGAGCCAATTATAACGCATCCGAGGTGAGTGTTTTAATCAAACGGTACAGCCCATCTTGAATACTTCCAGAGTTCGATCTCAGAGCACTAAAGTGAGGTGTCTTCAGCAAAGGAGATAGAGTGTAGGCTGCTGTCACGAACGCGAGAAGGCACTTTGATTATTTGAGTTAGATCCATATTTGATTCCAAAGGCTGCGTAATTTTATGTTGTGTAGCACTTTGGCACAGGATGCGATCCAGTTCGCAACGCAGTTGGATCGGCCCTTCGACGAAGAAGCATTAGCACATCTTCTGAAGAGCGAGATTTTAGTTTTAAACGAACGGGGTTCAGCGTCGAGTTTGGGGAGGATACAGTACTTCCAATTTTCCTCCGACATGACCAAACGAAATGGCACTCTGCAGCAGTCGTCGTTTCACAATGGATTTAAGTGTCCTGGGTGTACTGTGGGCCACAGATACGAAGATTACGGTCAGAGCAGGGGACTCTGAACCTGTGACAGTGTTGAACTCGCCTTCAAGGCTTTTGGCGCTCGGTAAACCAGACAAGCATGGGTAGGTACAAAATAAAGTACGGTACTAGTCAATTTGAATTCTAACAAGTTGGAGGTGTTACTTCTCCGGCTTCCAGTCTTGACAAGGTGGACGCAAAATTTAACAATTGGGATATATTGTGTGAAGGATATCAAGACGTGACCAAATATCCATTTTGGCTTGGAAAATTCGTCTTGCTTCAAATGTTTTCCCTTGTCCTTTCCATACTTAATCTCGTATGCTGACATTTCCATTTTCGCATTATGCCAGATCCGGCAATGGAAGCTTTAAATAAAATAAACTCTGACGACTGGTTGTTGCTTTCTCACGATTAGCAAGAACTTGAAAATAGCTTCGGGGAATCAAACCCCACCTTCTACAGAAAGAGCTTCTTGGTGCGTTGCCGACAAAATTTCTGTCTCATTATAAAATAATGGCTTGGCCAACTCAACGGTGCAGGTCGCATTCTGCAACATCCAAACAATTTTTCACGATATCTATATATGGAGATATAATCAGCTGATCCGCTTTCTTTCAAATTACACTGTTTGACATTTCTGAAAAAAAGAACCATGCAAGCTGATGACAAGCTCATTGTACTGAAATGCGTTGGCGAAAACTGTCGGATTGTACACATCGTGTGAGCTTAAATCCGTGGAAATTTGTGGGACACTCACTCACTTGAGGTTTGACGATGATGTCAAACGTCATTCATATCTGAGACCTGTTTTTTATCGAGTCGTTGAGAAGAAATGAAGCGGTCTTATTAGTACCATAAAATGTAACAAATATACATCGTATTTCAGTATAGATCGCTGGTCTGTTATTATTGCAGTAGGTCAGAGATGGAAGTCATCACGCACATTGGCAAAAGTATTCAGTTGTCATTTTGGACAGACAACAGATACATAGCTTTTACACTTTGGAAAGGTTTACACAGACGGAGTTAAGTGTAAACTAGAGTCTAGGAGGTGAAAAAAAAAGTGATAGGGGAAATTGGAGGGCTGATAAGGGACGAAAAAATCGAGAGGGGTTACGCCTTTCATCGACGTATATGGTTTTTCCAGTTGAGTACATGGAGAGGCTGTATGAAATGAATGAGCTGGATGAACAGTCTTGCGTGAAGACTAGATCAGGAGATGGCACAATGAAAAAAAGAAGTTTCCATGATTCCATTTCGAAAATTGCTTATACAGTAATTTGACAAAGTTAAAACATTTTAAAATCATTATGCCACACGTATAAGACTCGGGTAAATTCAATAATGTATCAACCCTCAAAACGAGTTGCAGAACTCGGGGGTTTCCTGTAGACATGCAAATGAATACCTCATTAAAAGAAAAGGCCCAACTCTATCATTTTGGCCAAGGAGAGTTAATTAATTTCCCTTGCAATTCTTTCAAAACGTAATCGGTTTTTTCCATTTGAACACAAAAATGGTTTTGTTGGAGTTGGCCCTTCTTTCAATTAGGTAGTCAAAGTTTCGAACGCTAAATGTAACTTCTCATGGTATCCTTTTATTTCAGCGGCTTAAACCCTGTAGATTCAGTTGTGCTGACGGCTGATCGAGGCTATCTTCTTTGGATCAACCCGAGGGGCTCCATTGAAGTCAAGTTCAGATATGGTCGTTCTGGAGAAAATTTCAAGTAAGAATACTTCTTTTTTTTACTCTTCACTTCGACATCCACGTATAAAGGAGTGATTCTGCAAACTCGCTAGCCAGCAAACCAAAATCGCACGGCATATTAAGACTCAGTCTCTGTAAATCACGAAGGACAGCTAGTGAGGATAGGTGCAGTGGAGAAATACCCGTGTACACGGGCGAAGAAGTGCCTATGTTGAAAGTGGCCACGGTGAAAGTCAATACCCGGAGGAAACCTGCCAGTGACCTTGCAGAGCCCACAGTGGTGGTTGATGGAGAGATATTGGATCACAGCGTGAGCCAGAAGCCTGCCTGCTGGTGTTGACCTCCAGGACATGCCTCTCTCCCTGCCACCCGAGAGACGTAAAAAGTTCAAGAGTCATGGATGACTGTAACCATGGTGTAACTGATGTTTTGTTAAGTTGAATCTCGCATGATCTCTTAACTACTAACTCAATTATTCTGGAATTTACATGGCGTCAATCTTTATATAGCAGCATGTACAACAGACCTGTTCAACGTCCGAAACAGGTTGGCAGTTGCCTACAACACCCACTCGCTTTGCAGCTTTTTCAGTCGAATGAAAATGTTCCCACTGCATCAGTTTTCAGACATGTACATCAATTTTTCGGGCATTTGTGACGGGGGAGGGGCGGGGGCAGTAGAGTTTGAAACTGCCTTGAGGCTCCCAAGCCTCACATTCGTATGAAGACCAGCAATATTCAAGGACAGATCCAGGACCAAGTTTTCTGGGGGGGGGAACTTGGTTTTTGGATGGCCAAAAATGCAAGCTTTTCATGCAACCTTTTGTGTCCTTTCTGAGGGGTAAGGCTATGTGGGGCCCTTTTTACTTTTTTGTAAGAATGGGAAATAAAATAGATCACAAAAGTTTTATTCCTTTCATTATCCCCCCCCCCATTTTTGGCTCATTTTGTTGGGGGCATTGTTCCCGTTAAATTCGCTGTGAATCTGCCCTTGGCCTGATTGACACGTTCTCACTCTGTGAAACTTTATTTGAAATTTAAACAAGACGTTGACAATTGCATACATGTGATCGTGTAGACCAATGCCGTACATGACATTTTATGTTTGGAAAGCATTTTGACACACTGATTAAGAACCTATAGGATGTGCTAAAACATTATTTGAGGTTGCGTATTACATTACTCACGTCGTACTCGACTTGAGATTAAGTTCGTGTGTTGTCATTGGTTCGATAAATAAAAAGTAATGTGGTGTTACCTCCTACACCATATCGGAAAACTTTACATCTGATCCATCTCTGTAGAGAGACCCCTCATTAACATCATTCACAGGTGAACTGAAAAGTTTTTGTCATTTCTGTGTGGTTTTCATATGCAATGTATTTGGCTTCGTTACTCTCCGTCCCTGGCAACGCCTGATTTTTAACCCCCTGACTTTGTAATTGCCGGCTCATTGTGAAATCAAATACTACGTCAAGCTACATGCCAGCGATGCAAATATGAAAATATTTCGATTTGTTTTGAACACTGTTAGCCTCAATGTGGGTCAAGTTCATTTCAGAGACGAAGCTAGGTATCGGGCAATCCCTGCATACATTCAAAGCAACTTGTGTATTAAAGAGCATTTGTTCTTCTAATTCACCTTCTCTCCAACTTTCCACCAATCAGCTGCTTCATAGACCCCCAGCACCAGGGCGTCACCATCTACGAGCTGTGCGGCACCTACCGGAAGGAAATGGTCGTGGACGGTCGTCAGCCACTCTCCAAGAACACCAACCCGCATCACGTCAAGCCTACGGGTGTTCGTCGAAGAGAAAACAACTTTGAATTTCGCTCCAGAAACAGCGAAGTACGCCTTGTATTGGAGACTGTGCGAGATTCCCCGCCCCAGCAGGCATTTAAGTTTAACTATGTGCTGACTCTGTGAGCGGATTGCATGATTGTTAGAATTGGAGAAGCGCCTACGCAAGGAGGCTAGCATCTCCTTTCAACGAGTCATCCCGATGAAAGTGAACATGTGTGTGTATCTGATTCCAAGGCGCAACAGTGAATTGCTAAAGCAGCTGTTAGAACTTGCTTTTAAAAACTTTGGGACTACAATTAATTAAACCAGTATGCGATTTTCATTCAATGTTACTCTCATATTTAATATAACTTTGTGTTTTGCAGTTAAATATGTTTAAATTGGTCATATTTGACAATTTTGTATTTTGTAGGTACATATTTCTGAAATTGTTTTATTCAATAATTTCACAGCCAGTATAAGTAGGTAATGTCGCAAGCAGTAAATGCCAAAAATCCCCTTGCACACTTATTGAATGTAAAAAGACGAAGTCTATTATTGGTTGATACCTGACTTGTACGAACAGGTGATTAACGACGTCCACAGAGCCCATTGTTTACCCCAACACCCTGTCAAATAATGGTGTATAACATATGAGCCTTAGTTTTGAAGCAATGTTAAGACACAATATGAAACCCATGGACAAATCACCGCAGAAATCAACACAGCCCGAGATCTGCATATCAAAGCCATGCGTTTCCCAAAGTTGATTTGTTGTTTGACCGTGAAGTTTCTCGCCATTCGCCCATTTACTTAAAGTGTTGTAGTAGCAACAAAACAAGTGTACATGTTTATCCATGCTTATCCATGTAAACCTTGATTAATTCTACGGCTTTCCCTTTTGTAAGACTTCTTCAGATTTTTTCAACAACTGTTCACATTGGTTAACCCCCACTTTACTGTTAAGAAATGACTGCAGTAATTGTCAAGATTGAAGCACGACTTGACCAAATATGGGCAGACAAAGGTCCCATCATCACACTGGACAGATAGTAAGATGGTCTTTAGATCTATGCTAACATCTCAGTTATATTGCAGTTTATTTATTCAGAAAACACCCAATGGAAGACTAATTATTGCACAATGAATTCAAGAGATTTAGATTATTTTTCTGCATAAATGGAGCAGTATGTATCGATTGTGTCTTTGAAAGATGCAATTTAGCCTCAACATGGATTTAACAAAAAAAACCATATTTCACACACACAATAGGCTTATACGACCTGCTTCATCAAACAATCTGAATGAAGTAAGAGGTTTTCACTTCTTAATGCTAGTACAAATCTGCAAAAAACCCAAACTTTAGCATCAAATAGGCTACTTAAAATTTGTACTGTACAGTAATGGCGTGGCAAAATTCCATAATGTTCTGTTGGGTCAAATGTCGGTATGCATGTGTATTTTGGTCATGAGACCTCTTTCTTCATCCAGTAGACAACCATGGGCGGGGTCTCAGGCACTCGAACCGGAGGCGGAGGTGGGGGAGGGGGAATGCTCAGATTAGTTTCACATGGAGCACCATCCCCTGACTGACTCATGGGTAGGCTTCCACTTGTCTTGGAATCAGGGGAAGGCTTAGAGCAGGAATCGTCTGAGCTATCCTCAACTGCTTTCGGACATCCGCCGTCTAATCGAGAGACTTGCCGTCTCCCTGCACTGGGATGTTCATCTCTTGAAGGGCACTCAGACTCGCTGGAACAAGAGACGTGACTCAAGGAAGTTGAGTCGCAATCCACTTGCCAAAGGTCACAGGTTTCCAGTATCTAAGAAGGAGAGAAGATAAAGCTGACATTATGCAGGATGTTACAGTCAAAGAAATTCTGTGTATTTACACTTAATGGCATTAACATGCACACAAGGGTGTGGTAGACAACTTTTGTTAATAAACATTCATCATTTAATCAACATGTGACAAACTTGTGGTAGGGCCATCACAACTTTGCATGGCTATTTTTTTCACACACTGTAAGGAATGTGTCTTTTGCATCAATATGCTCACGTATACACATGTAGATTTTCGAAATAACTGCAGAAAAACACAGATACAGTCGCCCTATTTTTCTGAGCTGAATATTTATCCTGAATTCACGTCATTTATAATAATCCCTTGTGATTAATATCTGAAACTGTGTACTGGAAACTTGAGATTTTGCCCCAGGGTATACCAAGGGTCTAATGAAGGGTGTGCATGGGGCTAGAATAAATGTTTTGAGGCCCTCAGCACCAGTGCCCCATGGGCTATATCCTCCATGTCACCATGCAGCGCCAATTTCACATAACTGGTAAGTGACGGAGCTTCACATTTTATGAGGAATGCTAAAGCTGCACATTATTAAAATATTTTGAAAGCAGCTTTTCCAATATAAAAAATTCAATGCTGATTGAAATGGCAAATTATTTTTTTAATCTGCATATTTTCTTGCACAATATGGTATTTTGGTAGGCCCCCTCAGTGTTTGGACCTAGTGTTAGGACGTAGCTACTGCCTACATTGCCTGCTGGATTATCTGGCCCTGGGTACACAGTAAGGGATGGTCTAACTCACTTCAAAGTTACTACAGCTAACTGATTACATTTCAAAACCTTCCATCTAGTGGCCTCACATACCACTATCAATGTCCCCTTTCACTGAAGTCAAAATGGGGCCGATAATTTTGTTTTCTACCTGTGCATCCAGCGTGTTGACGGCTTTACAGAACTCGTATCCCAGGTGAGCATAGAAGTCTTGCTTGTCTTTGGTGCTGAGGTACATCGTTGTGAAGCCTTGCATCTTGGCGTGGGTCTCAGCTAGCTCCATCAGCTGCCGGCCCAAGCCTTGACCTCGAAGATTTTTGGGGACAACCACTGTTGACAGGAAACAACATTATCAGAGGGACCATGCTTGTCAAGTGACCAATTCACCTGAGAGCGATGACACTGTGTCTGAAAAATACTAGGAGACTTTTATCACAAACAAATAGTTTTGTTCTTGTCATGAGAAAAATGAAAAAGCCTCCATGAAGTCAAATCACAGGTTGAAGGAGTGACAAAGGAGTTCATTTGTCAAAGTTTGTTAAAATAACTTTTCTGAGCAATGGCCTGGCGATGTGACTTCTGAAGAGTGACTTGTGACGATTTGTGGAAACTTGATTTTCAAAGACAGGGGGAGTGGATTGGGGTGCCTTTTTCTAGAGGGGAGATGAGGCAAAAAATCTTGACCTGATTCAATAAGCACGCTGCTGGGTACGCTGATGACCTTGGCCAATCTGCAGTAGCCAATCACTGCACTGGGATCTGAGCCTATTTCGCGCTTGTCATCAACCATCACAAGAGAATAAGGCAGGCTATCACAAGATTTGTCCAAAGAGTGGAGTCTGCATGATCACAGAGCAAAATAAAACATGATACGTAATCCCAGACATGCGATAAATGAAAGCAGAATCAAAGGCACAAGGGAGCCACACAGTGATTTTTTACACGTGTTTTCTGGCATGGCAAAGTTCTGAATTAATATTAGCAAACTTATCAATTGCTTAATATTTTTAAATGTATGACCCCTATGGGTCCAACTTGGCTGTATCTCTGGCCCTATAAAGGCTCTGTGCAGAAATACCCAAGCACCCCTCTATTCAACCTATACTTTCATCAAGAGCAACTGACCTTATTAACAAGTCAGCCATCTTGAATTGAAAGTAAGGCAATCTCTGTACAACACTTCCCAAACTTTAGGCCTTCGGGCAACAAAGATCATGCATTGTGGAAAATGAAAGATTAGTATTCCTGTATTCTGGTCGATAGTTCCAAATTTTTGATAAAATAGACACGACACCTTTTGGGCTGAAATGAAAAACCCTTTCTTTCAAAGTGAGGTAAACTCTTGTAGTTACAACAAATCAGTCAGGTACTGGTCCTTTCCTGTTTGAGAGTGTTCAATAAAGCAAATAGATTTGGGGTGCACAATCTAAAATGGCCATTCCATGAATAAAGCCCAATCGGCCTTTGTATGATTAATGCCATCAATAAAAAAATAAAAATATCCAGAAACCATGCTTTTGTTTTATTGTTATACTAATCCTGTTGAACTGCCAACACCCTGCAGTTCCCTCTTTTCCAAAGGTCAACAGCAATTCAGCCACTTACTATGCCTAAGCCCCACACTTTAGACATATTGGGCCTGATTGGTCACTATGCATGGTTGCAGTGCACTAGTTGTCCATCCAAAACTTGGACATCACTTCCCCCATTTGAATCATACTTCACAACCATGAATTATAAAAGGACATATGATCTGATGGCAAAAAGATGACACCCAACAGAAATATCCTGAAACTAGCCTTCAGTTTAACCTGGCTGCTTTGCTGCGAGGCCACTGAGCATTCAACAAGTCAATGCAGGCATCCATCAAATCAGGCCTCTTATGCAGTGGTTCCATATGAATGCCCACGGTTGAATCCATCATTCTGGTGACAAAAACTTATAAGTTTTGGAAATGAAAAGAAATAGAAATGTTACTGCACACTACTAACTAGAAATTTGAGGGCCTACATGTTGATCCATGTAAAAAGAAGAATGTTTTTCTTAACGGGGCCAACACGTTTTTGTACAGAAAGCCTCAAACATATGATCCTGTTAAAAGTGTTTAAAAATCTGGGCCTCGAAAACTGGTCGGTGGTTGTGCTAGCCTACCTCAATCATTCAACAAGGTTATAACCACTGTCTTGTCCACAACCACAAAATTTAATGCCCTGTGTATGATCCATGGGCTGGTCCTTTGCAGTATCTACGAAAGATAGTGTAGCGCCGCGCCAGACTATCTTTGGTATCCATGCCATGTAGGCCTACAACTGTACACATATGAAATGACCTCGACAGTGGGCTTTGATTACAATTGAACGTACACTTGACTGCCTTTACACAACACTTTCCCAAAATGCTTTTAAGCCATCATGCAAAATCCCTCAAGCATAAATTTGCTGCCTTTACACAACTTTTTCCCCCAGAATGTTTTTTTTAAATTCGTAGGCGTCAGGGTACGGTGGACCAGTTCACAGTACAGTGAAGATTTTGCGTCGTACCCGGCCGGCCACACAATCGAATAACAAGGAATCGACTCCATGCCACAGTTCGAAATGACGTCCACCAAGTGTAGTGACACGCTTCCGCCGAGACTTTCAGCTAAATATGAAGGGTAATGATTCTGTTTTAAAATTCCATTGGCCTTTGTTCTGTGTGTTATTTAACGAGGATATTTTGGTTGAATACTAATGAAATTATTACATCTACACGACGAACAGTCTTGTCTAAAAATACATCGAAATGCCTCATGCGTGAACTTACCCCGCAGCACTTCACGCTAGCATATGCAGTCGTTGCACGCGTTGTGGCGCGAGTATAGTACTCGTTCTACTCGCCCATATAGAAAACAGTGCAAAATCGGGCCTAAATAGCGCCGCCTGTTGACTCTCGTGAAGAGGTCGGCTTCCGTTTTTTCAATGGAAATTCAAGATTATAGCCAGAAGATCACTTTTCGTTTCAATTTTATAGGGGTTAGCCATGAATTTTTTTTATTCGCCTTTCCCTAAAGATACCCCCAAAATAGCAGTAAAACTAAGCGCTTATTTCTGAATGTAGCCGCCCACCTCTGTCCAAAGTAGGCCCGCAAGTTGGGGCTTTTTGTCAAAGAGACACCCCGAACTGGAAACTATCAGTCCCAAATTCAGGATTTATTGAAATATTTCTATGATGCCTCCTGATTATGGCCTGTCTTGTTGTAAAAATCCTGTGGGATCACAAAATATTAACCCTAACACTCCTCAGTCCTCCAACAGGTGAAGGATTGAGGAGGGTTAGGGTTAAGGAGGTCGCGTGCAGAAATACAACCATCTGGTAGAATGCACCCTCTGATGTGCATGTGTAGGGTGCTGCTGCTCAAATACAGTCCCGCCGCGACGGCCTTCTGGCAGTCGCATCGTGCATACACATTGTGTAAACACAGGCACGAAATCAAATGTGGGAAATCTGAGAGAGAACCCCCCCACCTTTGTGCTGGTCACTGTTTGATCGGAATCTCAGGAATTCTTTATAAACTTCTAGGGGGGATGTGTTAGGTAACAATAGTCTACAGTATGTATAGGGATTAGATAGGTAAGGGGGGTAACCCCTCCGTCCCATATCTTGCCTGGTATACCAATGATGCCCTCAACCATCACAAATTTAAAGAACTAATTTCAAAGTGAGCTACTCTCCAAGGCCTCTTAGTGAGACTCCCAAGTGTAGTATTCAGGACAACCACCAAGTACCAAGTAATATTCGTCATAGAAAATTTGTATTCACTCCCTACAGAAATGACAGACAGTTTCCCCTTCCACCAGCATACAGGATTAGCCATCAAAAAGCAATAACATGTTCTAAACAAAAGTAAAAAGACAGTTTTAGCAGGGTACTTCAAATTTATTTTTCAGACCAGTCTAATGTGGTTTGTGAACAGGTTGTCAAGTGATATCAGTGTATGGAACTTTTGCCATTTACAAAAACATGTCCAGTCAGAGACATGTTGCGATTTCTCTTTTTTTAAAGTAAAAACATGGAGGAAAGAAAAGATACTTCCATACAGCATAGTGCCTCAAGGTTCTGGGAGTAGTCCCACTCTTAATTAATGATACAAGTGTGGCACTTTGTAAGGCAATTTATTGGTCAGTATTGTTGATGTACCCTAACTTGTGTGTGGCATAGTTCCTACTGTGATGTATTTTCATTTTTCACCTCTAGCGTATCTGGTGCCTTTTCTACCGCAACATTTCCCCTTAAATTTCACAAGAAATAAATTTCATCAAGCTCCCAGTCTCAACATTCTGATCCATTAATCTTGAGGTCACATACAAAGTTCTTACGAAATTTATTTTGGCCTGATTTTCCCTTTTTTAGTGCAAAATGAACTCTTAAAATGCCCCGAGAATAAAAAAAATTATTTTCTTGCAAACTTGTCGTTGATTGTGTGGGTGGAGGTAGTAATGATGTACATGTACTAGAATTTATAAACTTTGAAGAACTCGTCAAGTGTAAATGTGGAATTTTCAGAGATTTGTTCAAGGGCGCCACATTAGGGAACATTCAGTTGAATTTACAAGTGCCCAATTTCTGGACACCACAATTTTTGATTTCTGACTAAATTTTGTATCACTGAAAGTGTTCACAAAGGTTCAGCAGCATGCATTGTGAAGGTAATAGTACTCAGTGTTATAGCTACACGTAGTCGTATTTTAGTGCAGGACAGTTCAGTAATTTCGAACGGAGGGAGCAAAGTGACCGGAGTCTTGGAAGTCACTGCCAGGGGTCTGGGGCCCCCTTAAGGGGACTATAGATCACTTTTTCAGTGAGTTTTTCTTTCCAAACTGGTTAAGAGTTCAAATTAAAAAAAATTTCCAGGTAAAAATATATGATATAGTGACTGATGTTTTGCTGGGATTTTTAAGGATTTTTCGGCTGGTTGGTGGGCTGTTTCATCGAGCTTAATGCCGAACGGTAGAATGCTGTGGTGGAGATCCCTGACTGGTGGAGATCCTTGACTGGTGCTGACCGGCGTAGCTATCACATTGATATTACCAGTCACTGAATGAATTTGAAGTGTTTCAGCATTGAAAAGTGAGGTTTGGCAACGTTGCACAAGGAAAGTCAATGTTTCATGAGGAAATTTTGAAGAGCTCTACATCAGGGGACTCAACTAAATGCACCTCATAAATAATCATGACGGATAGCCAAACTCTCATGGTTGTATTCACGGTCATGTGCCAGCCGCTAGTTTGGTTATTTGCCAAGCGCACATGAAATCGTTCATGCAAGGAGTAAATATGTGTGTATTTTGAACTGTCATCTGGCTTACACAGGCAACAATTAAAAACGCATGTGCAGTAGCAGAAAATCCAGGAACTGTTGCCCAGATGTACATGTACTTTTCACTTGTGGTGGCGCCAACTTAGCAATGGTATGCAGTCTGCTGAGCAGTGCCAAAATGGAAGATATTGTGGACAAAAGGATGCCTCCTCCATGAAGAAGGTTAACCACAATGTGGTGGAAACGCTCAAAAATTACTGTGTCGCAAAAGGATTGGACTTTTCTTTCAAAATGATGCTGTTATTCCCATAGGTTATTAACCCTAACCCCCTAGGGTGTGTGCAAAATCATATTAAAATTGGAGGATTCAGGACTGTTAGGGTTAAACGAAATATGTATGACATACAGTAGAACAAATATATGTATACTAGCGCCTTCCTATGGATGGGGGAAAGAGATAATTCTACAAGGATGAACAAATCGGATTGGACAGTTGTTACAGGAGAAATATGTAGCCGGCCCACTGGACTCAAAACCTGGATAGTTACTATTAAAGTACAAGTATTGTTGGTAGTGCAACCAGCGCACAGTTGGGCAATAGCCTCTTACATTCTGTTAGAACTACGGTTGAACCTCGTTGATAAGAGCTCTGTTAACACAAGATTCTGCTTAGAACGAGGAAATGTTTAGGACTCAATCCTTTGTTTTTCATTGGTTTTATTCCTGATAATACAAGGTTCCTGTTATAACAAGGTAATTTGCCAAGTCTGGAGGACCTCTTATTAACGAGGTTCGACTGTACCTGCATCTCCTTTTAATAGTTCACGGCACACAGATCAATCACCGCATTTCATGTTACTGTTACATGCTGTATTAAAATAAGCAGCACCTTGAGTGTTACATTATAAACAAGGAACACAAATGAAATCGTATAGACTGTACTGTACATGTGCTACTTTTTCTCTGATTGCATTTTCTTGCCAGGTCTTTTGCATACTTTACCATCAGGGATCGTCTTCCTGTCATCCTTACCAAGGTGATAGACACTCTCTACACCTACCGCATCAAGGCAGCCCAACAGTATGGAGAGGTAAGACGTTGAAAAAAAAACCAGTGGTCTGAACTTCATTTTTTTTTCTGTGACACTAAATCATTGGTCAAGTCATGGGAGCTTCCCCCCTCCCAATTCTGTCGATTTGATTAATACTGTGATAGGGAGGTAAGAACCCCAGTGTGAATTATTTCTACTGCTAAACTAATGGGGACTACATGTATACTTGTAGATGAAAGAAGAGAAATCCAGTTTGTAACTACAGCTCACTCAGGTTTGTAAGTGCAGTTTGTGGCCTTGTTGTTTTGCTACGAGTCTTTCTGAATCCTCCAAAATCTATCATTGTGCTGGAAATACCAGCATGCAAGAAGCAAGCCCTGTGTTAAGTGATAGCGATGGGGGGCCTGCCTTACTTGAAGAGGCAGAGAGAAAGCTTCAAATGCTCCGGCATGTAGGCTAGATTGGCCACCCAGAAACCAGTGTACAGTGAATTTATCTTCGGAAAATAAATGCAAGAGAAATAATGGGCAATTTGTCTTTACAACCAACTGGGCTGATTTCGGAAACATGCTGGGTTGATGTCGTAATGGGGAGAAAGGCACAACATGCATGCATGAAGATACATGTAAACTGGCATCGTTGCAGCTCAAATGCATTAAAATGAGGAGTTTTTATGACGTAGAAAATGCACAATATTATACGTTAATCTCTAAGATGCATAAACCTAAAAACCTTACTCTTAGCTGGTCAAAATAATTGTGAGATTTGTTCCAAAATGATGGAGTGCGAGACGTTGAAGATGGACTGGAACGTAACATGTGAGAGTGTACTCGTGTTCATGTGCAGTGGCAGTGGACTATTCATATGCCTCGTAGATTAATATTGTCAATATAGGAGTACCCAGACCTGAATCTTGGGCTGAATCGCAGGCTACCTTGTATGTAACCCAAGTGCATGCTTGTTTTGCCAAGTCTACAATTTTCAATGTGTCGAACAAAAAGAGATAAACATGTATCGGATTCTTCACATGAGAGTGAGTGGATTCAATTCCTATGAAAATTACTATAATTTACTTGTTGATAAATGAGGACAATGGCATGGAACCTGTCAGTGTTGTGGGACTGCTGTGGACACCTGGTAGTGATCCAGCAGCACAGCACTGTACACCAGCAGCTGCAACTCAACACAATCAGTTGGCGAGGCCTGTGTTGCTTTTCTAAATTTGAAGTGCTTTTGCAGACACTGGATATATGTTGAAGCAGTCCTCCAAAAATCCTTGGCATATTACTTATCTGCAACAACCAGGAAGGTTTAAAATCTACCCTTAGTGTGTTTGGGAATGATCGATTTCTAAGTCTCAGTCTGAGACCAAGTCTCAGTGTACGAGACTCCTGTCTGAACTGTACAAGACGGGGGTATTTTTTTATGAGAAAAACACAACAAATCATGCACTTAAACTTTATGTATATGGAACAATCAACGTAGTGGACATTTGCGCAAGTACGTTGCATTTTGAGCATGCCTCGACTACGAGACTTGTGTGTGAAGATGTACCGTGTTTACAGCTGTATCTCCCCGTGACATTTTGGGGTCACCGACATATCATTAACCCTAACACTCCTCAGTCCTCCAACAGGTGAAGGATTGAGGAGGGTTAGGGTTAATACATAATGAGTGTTTCTGAAATTGGCAGAAAAGGGACTTTCGGAAGCCCATTTTGTGGACATTTTTCGATCATAAAGGGGAAAACTGTTCCATTTTTTCATGTTACTTTTGGAAGATGGTCTTATCACCTCTTGTTTAAAAGTTATAATTGGGAAAAGAAGGTTTTCTTTTCCCTACCTCTCTAATCGTCCAACATCAAGCTCCCGTGCCCCTCAGTGGATTTTGAAGGATCCAGGAGGGTTAGGGTGAAGCTTGTCACCGCAGGTTGACTCCTTACTTGTCCTTGCACTTCAGGAAGGAGCAGCTGACTGTAAGTCCATCGTCTCAAGCCTGGCCAAGTTCCGTAATGAGCTGCAGACGGACAAGCCAGTTCTTCCTCTGGAGAGCAATGAGGGCGCCGACAGCCAGATATGGCAACGCTACTTGGAGGAGGAGACTCAGAGGAATGGGGGGCGTCCTCCAAGCTGGTTCCAATCCCCCTGGCTTTATGTGGAATGCTATATGTATCGTAGGATCGTAGAATCTATTCGACTGAGGTAAGGCTCTTAATTTCATTCTTCAATTTTTTGCCAAAATGAGCTAAGTTAAACAGTGTCCAAGAAATGATTACAGGTGTGTGGTTGAATCTATGGTTTTTATGCCTGTTTGAGAGAACTCAGTTCCTCCACTAAAAAGATGCAGGTTTATGAAGTTTGGAAGTGTTTGATTTCTTTCTTCAAAATGCACTGAAGTACACCTTTTGAGAGATGAAAATTTCCCTTGCAAGGTGCAGAAATGTGTGGAAGTGAATGACTAGACATATGACGTTATTCATTGATTGATACGCCAAACTGAGCGGCAGTCAAGTAAGCCCGTAATGGAAGGCTCGAGTCAGGACTCCTCATTCAACTGTTTGTAACTGTTGTATTGTACCGTATTCCTGCTTTTGTCGTCGGGCTTTATCCCCAAATGTTTTTGGTACGTTTTTGTCTTCCATATCTAGCAAGCATCTCAAGAGTTTTGACCCTTTTCGAGAGCTGAAGGACACGGCCTTGGAAACGTCCCAAGATGCCCTTGTTATCCTAGCAAAGTATCTCCAAAGCACCTCGGAGGAGAATGGAAAGGCGGTCGACCTTTTTACTGAATTTGTTCAGGTGAGGCTTGCAAGGTGGTGTGCTACATGCTGGGTTTTATGGTATAGTCAGAATAGGAAATTGCATAAACTCACCTGCCTATGCAGAGAATGCATACCAAATAAGTGTCACTTTCATTTCTTAACACGCCCTCTTTTTTTCCTGCTCGGAGCGGATTGAGTTGTCATAATGAATGTGATATAAACAGGGTCAGGGATGCGCACAGCTAATTCACTAAGTTTGAAAGAAACTAAACTCTTGAATTCCAGAAATTGTCACAAGTAGCATGCAGCATACAGGCTACAGAAGGCCTACTACTTGCTGAAAAAAAATTTCTTACAATAGAATGAATGAGTAAATTGTTGGATAAGCCCTGATGCTGATCATCCAAACTGCAGCCCTGACCCGGCTGAATCAAAGAAGATTCACACGACGCCAATAATTATCTGTTTGCCTCATTCAATTTTGCACTTTGTAAAGACGAGTGTGTAACAAACCATGCTGGTCGCATTGAAGGGGTTCATAAGGCATCCTTGTTTTGTTCATGTTGGATTCTGTTTGTTTCAAGGAGATTCTCCCCAGGGGTTTCTTTGTTCTCAATCTCAGGTTTAGACTCTGCTTGTTACTGGGAATTTATTTTTGCAGATTTCTCTGTGGGGGAACAAGTGTGACTTGTCCATCTCAGCAGGCATTGAGAACTCCCAGAAAATAAGTCCGTTGTCACAACTAAAAGAGTTAAGAGATAAGATTCTTGTGGACGACACTGAAAAACTCTGGCATGTCTTGGAAAAAGCCAGAGAGCGCAAAGCTGAGAATGGAAAAGTGCGATTAGACATTGTGTTGGACAATGCGGGCTTTGAGCTGTTTACGGACTTGTGCTTGGCTGAGTTTGCATTGCATACTAATGCTGTGGACACCGTTGTCCTGCATTACAAAGCAATGCCCTGGTTTGTGTCCGACGTTGGGCGCAATGACTTCATGCACACTCTCAACTTCCTGGAGCACCATGAGAACAAAGTCTTGCAAAATCTCAGCAAGACGTGGACAGAGAGACTGCAAACTGGATCCTGGATCTTGCAGGGGCATCTGTTTTGGACAACCCCACATGATTACAGTGAGATGCGGTCTGTTAGTCCCGAGCTGTACTCAGAGTTATCCAACTCTGATCTTGTCCTGCTAAAGGGAGATCTGAACTATAGGAAGCTGGTGGGAGACCGGCAGTGGGAGCACACGGTCCCCTATGCAGAGACCCTCTGTGGATTCCATCCGGCGCCCCACTGTGCCTTGCGGACCAACAAGGCTGATGTCATTGTGGGACTAGAGGAAGGCGTCACTGAACAAATCGAAGCTGTCGACAAGGACTGGATGATTGATGGGAAATACGCTGTTATCCAGTTCTGTGGAGTCATCCAAAACTAAAGATCAGAATGAATGAATTTTTAATAGGTGTATCTTATACATGTACGTGCAAGGAGAATTTCTAATTTGTCAAGTTCGATTTGATTTTTTATTAAAAGCTGAACTGGTAATTTTCAAATGTCCAAGTAAATTTTCCTGTGTTTCAATGATTTTCTCCAAACAAGCATGCACGTCAACGTATTGAATTATAATAAACTATAGGGGTGTTGGCTAACTCATGTACATGTATTCTTGTTCTGTAGTTGTGGGGACATACAATTTTTTTCACCTATTTTGTGGGGACTGAATAATTTTTTGTTCTCCAAACAAAAGAATTTGTCCCCTTAATCCAGTGAAGACCTACTATAGAGATATATATAAAAACTAGAGCACCGACTCATGTACAAAGAGATGCCTGCTGGGTGCATCCATGTTTGTGCACAAACCTATGGAAAACTCCAAATTTTGCCATTTGCATATCTACATCTGTATTGTAAAACAATACGCCAACAAACGTGATACAAAAAAAGTAACTATCAGTAAATGAGCGTTTCATTTTGCTCTTCATAAACAACGTGAACACCTTCAGATAATTTTGCCGTAACTTTTTTAATCAGATTTTAGAGGTACCCGATGTGTGTTGCATTTAGAATACAGAAATCGATATTCATTCTTTCCGAATTTGAATGTTCTACAAGCACGCACATTGATTCAAAATGTCTGCGCCCGGTACGGCGTCAAATTTTCTGCTTTGTATGTTGGTTTCAGATTTGTATGAGGTGTGCATCTAAGAAATGTATCAAAAACTCAACTCAACCTTTTGTGGGATTTTTGTGAGTTTTCTTGTGGTAATGGTGGAGGGCTTCAGGTGGTAGACTGGTACTGTACTGCCATCATGTATAATGGCTAATTCTGCTGGTTTTTATTGGTTTTTTAAATGTCTCTACTTTCAATCATGAAAGCAGACTTATACTGCTTTCAGTGTAACTAGGCAGTATGTTGATGGGCCCTGGCCACATCATCCTACTAAAGTAGGTGCAGAAATTATCTGTAAATACTAAATGGCATCTGTGTGATGTGCTGTAGAAAAACCCTCAGTAAATTCAAAGTCTTAGTTTTCGTTATCAAGGTTAACTTGGCCGTCAGGCAAACATTTAGCACCTTTCTGTTTTCCTGTGGCCAAAGAAAAACACAGCTGCAAGGAAGTATCTTTTGTTCATATAAATGAAATAAAAACTTGCAGAATCAATCCCAGAACATAACTTTTGTGTACACAGTCCTGTATTTTTCTTTAAAAAAACCAAACTGTGTGGCCTGCAAAACAACTAGCCACAGGTATCTTGTTTTTGTCCTCATACTTGCATAATTGCTTTCTTCACCCTAACCTTCCCCAACCACACAGAATTCAACAGCAGTAAAGTGTTTAATTCTGTGCGGATAGGTCTGGTGAGCCCAGACAGCTGGCTTTTGCATTGGGTTTGGCATACCTCAGAAGAACAAAGTCCAACAGCCTCTGTGCACAAAGTCATTATGGGTGTTTAACTTTGTGCGAATGGTTAAGGTTAGGGCCAGCAACCCTTGGGGGTTAGGGTTAATTCAGATGTCCTTTAGCAGCCAGCAATTGTGTTGATTTGGAGTATATGTGTATACAAGTATTCAATTTGACTGTAACTTGTCCAAAAAGTAATAGACCATCACCACACTTCAGTATATTTGCTTGAAACGTTACCCCTAAATTACTCCCTAAATTTTGTTTTTCAGTTTAATGGGAAAAACAACCATTTTTTTGGCTCGGCCTAATATATTTGTTTAAGTGCACAATGAAATTTTCCAGCTAAAGCAGAAAGCCTTCAAAGATTGTCTCCATTTGAATTTTATTGCCACATATAATTTATCAAACATACAGTGGTATATTTTTCGGGGGTAATGATAATAAACGCATACAGATATTTCCGTAATATGCGCTATATAAGAACTGACTGTCAGTATCATTATTGTATACCTAAACCATTTTTTTTACATGTACAATGCAAACACACATTAAGATTACAGAACCAGGAATACAATCTCAAAAGAGTTGGCAAAAGACTATCGAGAAAGTACATCAACAATAACTATAAAAAGTGGGTTTTTGATCAAACTTCAAACATTTCCAGGTTTGTTCACAGTGATCTTTGGCTTACGCAGACCTGTTGTTATTGATTAGTTGTTGATCGATCTTTTTTTGTTTTGATGGATCAATATCCACTACAGCGCATCCAACTTGCAGGATAGGGGACTGTTGGGGTCAACTGATCATTTTGACAAACATGTAGACTAGTTCACTTCAATCCTGTGGGCTTTTTTCCACAATGAAGTGTATTTCAAAGTCCAAAGAACAAAGCTTACACCTACTGGTACTGTATGGAAACCACAGATTTCAGACCAATGTTGGACAAAAGCACCATCATTATTAAAGTGATAACGACCAAGGATTGTCTGAATACCACCTGGGTGATGTAATCAACATGCAGGCAAGGCAAGCTGAGTACCCAATATCCCAATAATACACTGCATTGCTTGGAACTTAAAACAGTTTTTAAGCACTTTGGTTACTCATATAATTGAAAACATATTTGTTTGCACAACAAATCTGATATTTGATCTAATTTGTGAAATACATGTAAAATAAAGCCTTTTGCCTGGACAAAGGGTATTCAGAGCTATTTTTTTTATACACAACTCATAATGCTATGCAGCAGCTGATGGGAACTAAAAAAAATTAAAATTTATATTGCATACATAAATACCTCAGACAGTTCAGCCATTTCAAAAGCCCATCACATGGCTGGTCTTCAACAGATGACAAAGCTCTAGCTGGCTGTGTGCTACCTCATGCCAGGGATTTCCCTTTGGGTACTGATCTGCTTTGAGGTGGTCAAATAATTTTGCCAAAATACTAGCACCTAAAACAAAGGCAGGTGTTTTCAAATAGGCCTAGAATAAGTTCTATATATTATTATTTAATAGTACATTTACTCGAAATTTCCCCTTTGGAATCTTGTATTCTGTCTCCCAGTTTACCGTTCTGAACAATTTGAAACTAACCTATTTCAAAATATCTCGATAATTTTGCTTTTTCCTTCTGTCTTTGTCTATTTCAAACATAAGGTGGTAACATTCAACAGAAAAGCCTGAGGTAGTCACTAAAATCAGTGAGATAGGCCACCTCACAGGTGACAGGGGAAACCTTGCCTCACGCAATATGTATCATGTCCATGCCAATCAACGTATAAGGACATCGCTTATGACTACTTGTGAGAGAAAATAACGTAACATGGCAAGAGGAATGTTTGAAAAAAAAACCCCAGGACACTAGTATAATTAATAATTTTTAAAACTCATTTTGACTTTAAAACTCTAGGTATTTATGAATGGAAATCATTGTGCTTGACCGATCTTAAAAAACGTTTAGGAATAGCCAAGCACACGTATGCAATTTCTTCCCTTACAAATAAAAGGTCACTTCAATGAATAAATAGCCTGCACCTGTGTATATTACCCTTAATTAGCTGTAGAGTCAACCTGTTATTAAGCTGAGTCAAATCTCTTTACCAGCTGTTAATTTAAAATGCATGTACATACGCCAACCTAAAACTGAATAATTAGATCTTAATTTGAGTACTCCATTGAACTGTGAATGTATCAATACATTTATCACAAATAGAATCTGCAACACATTAAATAATAATTATTATAGCACCTGAAGAAATACTGCAAGGGTCTGAAAATAAAACACCTTTTTTTTCCTTACATGTATTTGTACTGACTCCAAATACTCCTTTTAGAGTATTATATGTGTCCAAAAAAATGATTAAAACCCGATAGACTAAACTCTTTGAACCCAGATCAGGATAGGTAATGGATCAGTAATTTGTCACTACAATCCATTTTTCTCCAGAGTTTGCCCCTCAGTTAGTAGCCTGACCAGCTTCTCCAATTCGAACAAGTGTTGGTCCGCGGCCTCTGGTAGCAGAGACCTAACGGCCTCAGCTAGGTTCAGGAGATACTCTATGTTTTTCCCGCTTGGTCCGACTGACAGGAAGATCTGTTGGGCTATAACTTCCATGGACGCCGGCCCAAGAAAGTTTTTGTTGTCTGGAGTAGCTATGTAGATCATGACATCGAAGGGTTGATGCTTGTAGGTGTCTCGTGGGTGAAAGGTCACGGAGGTGAGTGTGTAGCCACCTTTTTCCCGAAAGTCTAAGTATTCTCTGACACTAGGCTCATCTTCTTCTGCCACTTTATACGCAATACCCCATACAGTCTCCTGACGGGTGAATGCAGCAAATATTCTAGTGTGAGTTACTTGACAATTTGAAGTCATAAAGCAAACATGGAAGCACACTTTAATGTTACACACTGATGAAAAGCGAACGATAGTTTACCTTGGGATCTGGAACAAGAGTCACAACACGACCAGGCTGAAGAGAGGAAACAAAACGTTACTATGAAACAATCAGCATCAGTGAAAAACTCGTACATTACCAGTTTATGGTTTATCTAGTATTTTTAGTTTTTTTCCAGTGATGTCCTTCCCAAAATGTGTAAAATGAAGATTTGCAGTGGCGCAAAGTTAGTTCTGTGTTGATACACACCTTGTAAGAAGTTTGAAAACCGAAAGAAACAAAAATGTACAAATGGCTTAAAAGTAAAGTTTGCCATTCCATCTTCATGTAGTCTGCTGAAGTGTTTTTAGTGATAGGCATTCTATTAAATATTTGTTCACTTTGCAAATCACAAACATAGCAAGGGAGCATGTCTGTTGATCAATTTATCAAAAACGGGGGTAAAAGTTCCATAATGAATATCAATAATTTTCCTTTACAGTAATTTAACCATCAAAAAGTGATAACACGTCCTAAAAAGTCAATTTTTGCAGGGAAAATGTATAAGCCTTTTCTTACTATAAACAAAGCTCAGAACTGTCTAATATGGTTTGTGTGCGGGGTGTCAAGTGATTTCCGGATATGGGTCTCTTTCCGTAGAATGTACATACGAATAATGCGTTTTTTTTAGATGGCAATAATGTCTTCCTTCCTCCAAGATTAATTCAACCATGGAGAAATTTATTAGCAAGCAAATAAGACAGGTGGCATAGCTCAACGCCTCAAGCAACTTTAGAGAAGTACATGTATGATGGAATTTCCATTTCGACAAACTCACACTTAAATGAGGCAAAATTTCCCCTAACTGTTCTGCAATTGCCCAAGAACTGAAAAGCGGCTTGTACATGTACTTGAAATTTATGAAACCAATTGCAAAGTCATGGTGATAATTAGCCCAGGTTGGACGCCAGTCTTCATTTCAGTACGGTGAGGGAGTCCATCTGGGCTGGATGATAATGCATTTTTTTGTAAGGAGCAAATTATTTTTGTTTACCTTCCCAGGATATCCCCGGTGATCAGTGCTGCCTTGCCAAAATCTCCTTGCGTATCCTTCGATATACCCGGCTACTTTTTGTTCAAAGGGAAAGTTTACTTTCCATATCAAAGATCCGTAGCCGAACACCCACATTTTCAGTCAAAACAGGACGCTCTATCATCGGGATTTCAAAAGGCGTACACAGATGTTCGTTCGTGCATGAAAATGCGGGTACGACAATTGTGCTGCATGCGTTTGCAGTCAAATGCCGTGCAGCGGTCGGTGTGCATGTCGTGTTTGTGGTTGGTTAGGATCAAAGATCGAATCGAAGCGGCGCTATACGATACGATCTTTGATTAGGATGTACATGTACTTGGTTGGTTTAGTTTGTTTACTTTACGTACATGTTCATTCATGCGCAACACTGTCTTGTCCCTAGACTCATCTACGTCATAGGTATACGGCAAATGTGATGAGACCTGAATATGATGCCGGAAACTTTTGGATTGTTCCAAATAGAATTAGGGTGAAGTGAACCGACTGGGATATCTACTGCTACTGTATTCGAATGCAAAAGTCGTATTGCTCGAATTAACAAGATCCAGTTTAAATGTCATATTGAAAAACAAAAGGACCATGGCAGGCCTACTTTGTCCAATTTTTCTTGAACTGGAAGGGGATTTTAACCACCACAATCCCCCCAATGCGCTTAATCGCAAAAGCGCCCTCAATCGGATCGCGGAAAGATTTGTTTGGAAATTGCGTACTGCACACTGCAGTCATTCTTTCAATTAGATACTGTGATGTTCGTGCAAGTTGTTACACAACTGTTAACCTAGGCGTGTGTGAGCGAGCAGCTTAGACGGTGAGTGTTAATCTTGATTTTTTCCAAGGGAGCTGTCCTGAAACATGTTTTAACGTGTAATTCTAACGTTTAAGTAATTATTGAGCAGCGAAAATACCTATTTTCAAAATGGGGATCTTCTGAACGAGGAATTTTCCTTCCCTTAATTACAAGGTTTTTCAAGAACTTGCAGTTGACTAGCCCCACTATAGTAGTGTGGCCACACATCCGGACGCAATTTCGTGTCGGTGTATTGAACATTTTGGCGCACCATCTTATCGTGGGCGCAATTTCTTTTGCACACGAACATGATTCTTGACCTTTCCGCTCTCTAAAAACCATTTATTGAATGATTTCACTCATGTTATTTAGGTATTTTCCAGTCTTTTTGCCTTTATCCATTCAATCTAACGGGCTCGTTCTCACAGTCGCCATCTTTAAAATAAGGTCGTTGAACATTACATCACTTGACCCCTCATCTTCTTGACGGCTCTTCCATGTCAAGACATCTATACTGCTGCCAAAGTTTTGGAGGAGCCCGTTGGTACATGTAGTATTGTTACGATCCCAGTTGATCCAAATCCTTTTGTGTCTCCCTGAAAAGGTACGTGTGGAATTTACGCACGTTCCAAAAACCTATAAAAGACTCTGTAGTCATTGATTTCGCTCTCAGTCAGTGCCTATATGCTTTTAGCATGTGCGTTCCGAAATAGCCGGCGTTGGGTCAGCACCTACCTGTCGTCTACGCCTCGTTACTGCCGGACCGTGGCCAAGGCTGACACCGCTGAGGGACCGTGGACCCTGGAGTGTCGTGGCTCCATGTGGAAGCCGAATCTCGGGGATCGACACTGTCCTGCCTAGCCTGTCTGAACTGGGCTGTTCTGGCGCGGAGTGCGGAGGTCCTGATTTCCGTCTTTTGATTTTTCTTCTGCCGTGCATTCTCTGCACATAACAGTATCTTATCGCTCAGTCTATTTATTACATATGTCTTGACATGGAAGAGCCGTCGAGACGATGAGGGGTCAAGTGACGTATTATTCAACGATCTTATTTTAAAGGTGGCGACTAAGAGCCAGCCCGTTAGATTGAATGGATAAAGGTAAAAAGACTGGAAAATACCTGAATAACGTGAGTGAAATCATTCAATAACGGTTTTTAGAAAGCGGAAAGGTCAAGGATCAAGTTCGTGTGCAAAAGAAATTGCGTCCACAATGATAAGCGGGTGGGCCGAAAATGTTCAGTACGCTGACACGAAATTGCGCATACGGATGTGTGGCTAAGGATGGATCGGGAGTGAGAGTCCGTGCCACACTAGTGGGGCTAGCAGTTGATCAACTTGTACTAGACCCGTAAACAGGGCCCAACGAATACTCCGTCATATACATGATGGAGGAGTATTCCTTGGGCCCTGTTTACGGGTCAAATTAAGTTGAAGTTCAGAAGTTGGTCCTAACAACATGCCTGAAACATGTCGATAGGGAATCCAGCACTTTTCAGGGTTTTTTGTTTGACCCCCACAAATTTAGTGCCATTGGAAAGAGAATTTCAAAAGAAATTGAATGGTATAAAATTGAGCTCAATAGCTGTAAGTACATGTATAGTGAAGTTATGAATTTTTTTGTGATTAAAATTAGGTGTAATTAGTCCGTCACTTTTTGGGGTGGACACAAGTTTTATTTTCATCAGTGTATTTGAACCACATGGAGTCTTGTTTCTCATCGGTTCCACTTCCAGACATGCCAGAGTCGGAGAAAGATCACAGAGGAAGTGTAAAGTAACAATATCTTTTATTATGGAGAACTTTATCAATCATAAACACAGGAACACATACACGTATACATGTACAGTAACAGGACAGTTAAGTTGGGCTTGAAATTTTTACATGTTTTAGTAATGTGTGAAAGATCACTGAAGCATAGTTTTGATGTGATATTTGTCATCAATAAATAGCTATAAAAATAGGGGACCAAGTCTGTCAGGTGTCATAAGTTCCTTTAAGTCTGTTTGTGTTTGACAGCGTCTTTTGATAACATTTGATTGAAACAACGTGTGTGGTTTATGCGCTTGTTATTTGCATCTTACTCCCCGTGCACCATCCGTGGATCTGGTACACATGCATACACCATATGTGCGCAGTTGCGCAACAGAACCCCACTAGAAAAGGGCTGTTTGGCACCAGTTAGACATCAATTTTTGACCAATTTTTGTAGTCTTCACAAACCAAAACAAGGCTTGACGGTGCTTTGGTCAAATGCCTTGAGTCGTACATCAAATGAAAGAGTATTTTAAGCTCTACAAGATGATGACATCTTTGTTCCAAACCAGGTTGAGTCTCGTGAGATATTAGGCTTAGACAAGACTCTGTCACATGACTATAAACAAAGATGGCCGCACACAGTTGTTAACATAGTGTGAGTGGCTCTGATCTTACATTATTTTCATCATACTGTACACCCAAAACTGATGCAAACAGACATAATAAATGGTACTAACACAAATTTCGGTCTTTTACAACACAACTGCTTTTTGAAATAATTATAGAATTTGATGCACAAAAACGGCAGAAATCATTGATTGAAAACAAACACTTCTACATGCTTTCAGATATAAAATTTAAAGGTGCCGTTGCATTGGACTCCCTAATGTCGAGAAGACTGTCGTCGTGGTTGCTGACTCTAGGAGTTGTTGGAGCATCTGGCGGAGTTGGATGGGCTCTGATGAAGCTCATTTCACCATCTCGAGAAGACATGCTTAAGGTGATTGCCGGTCTTGTCTACCCCCAGAACTGATGACTGTCTTTACTACTGTGGGATTTGTCTTCTGCCACACACGCACGTGCATGCATGACGTGGGCATGGTCATGATGGTGGGTAGTGTGGCGAATGACAAACCCATAATCCGAGTAACTTTGACCCTACAAATCGCCTTTTTTAAACATCTGGACATTGTCGGGTGATAGTAAGGTCCAACTTAGCCCCACGCATAGGGCTGTGGATGGCTCTCTTTTGGAATTTGTCTCTTATCTGTGTGCCCGTCTGTGGATTAAAAGATAATCGGAGATTCCAATAATGATAATATGGTTTATTCACACATGGGAAGAAAAAAGAAATTTCCTCTCCAAATCGGAAACACTCTTGTCGACAAGCTTGAAGAACAGCGATTTTAACTACATTTTGATGTCCTGTTGACGACGTCACGGTGCGCTGGCTTAGTGACCATTCCCAAAAAGCATGCGGTGTTGGCACACCCGCATCGACGACTGTTTCCTGAGTGGTACAAAGTTTGGTAGCTCTGATCATATCAAAACTGTACACTGAACATGGGCCTACTGAAACTTTGTGTTAAATTGAACATTTCAATACCGTCACCAGGTCATGACTGACAGACGGTGTTATTTTGTCAATTTTGATAATGGTGGTTTTGCCTTTCACTGACCTGCATGATCAGTACTTAACCTTGTACTATGTGTTGTCCAAGGACATTCAAAAACTAATTACGTTTATTTGTCCTGCCATTTTTCATTTATTTCATTTGGCTTCTGGGCCCTCTTCCTTGGTCCCCCCCCCCAAAAAAAAATATGCGAAACTGTGAACCCATAGTTCTTGGGGTATTCCTATGTGCAAGTAAGTATGTCTACAAATTGCATCATTTAATATTTGGTCATGATCTAGCACAGCCCTAGTCTATGGACCACACTGGAATAGACTCTGTGTTTTGGGCCATATGCATGGCTGCATATAACGTTGGTTATTTGTAGAACCAAAAACTTAATGGAAATCATTCTGGTAGACTCATACTCAGTATGTGAGTTTTCTTAGCCAACCATCTCAGTATTTCTCAAAATTAAGACTTCACTGTCATGCTTCCTTCTGGTAAAAATTGTCTTGTATACCATTGATTAGCAACTTCTGAGGTTTCATTATGGGAGAAGAATTAACACTTGTCAGGTTTTCCAACTGAAGGATTCTGACTGCACTAGACAATTAACATTTTGTTGGGGAACCACACTACAGTAAAAAGTCTGGTTCCCAAACCAAAATATGGATTGTCTGATATAATCAGAATGTTTCAGTTGAGGAACCAGAACAGTGTCTCTTCTTCAGCTATTTGAAAGAAACCACCTAAAGTTGTATACACAAATTCAGCAATGGAAGAGTCATGTGACTTTGTGCTTGGTCGTAGATGAGCCAGTTGCTGTAAGTTTTGATCTGTCTCTCAGTGCATGGCCATTTTCTGAACATAATCCTCTGCTTTGGTGCCCAACGCCAACAGGTATTGCCGGAGTCGGATCCCAAGATAATGACAGAATCCCGACGGAGGAGTCAGGAATGGATGGATGCCATCAAGGCAGCGGCAGAGAACCCCAACCCCATCCACAGGACCTTACCACTTAACACCCCAGGGCCCATGAAGAGAGACTGAGGGGACCAGAGATGCGGGAAGCTGTAGAGTCACGGAGCAAGGGGGATTTCTCAGGCAGATGCCCGTCCCCATCCCTAGGTCCTATGTTGATGACAGTATCTGGCATCCATTATAAACCCAATGCTAGTGTGGACTTTCTATTTTTAGTGTCCCTGTTTCAGGCTTAATGAGCAATTCAGTGGTAGGGCTGTGCCGGTTATTTCAATATTTGGATAGTTGATCGACAAATATTTGAATAGTTTTTCAAATTAAATACTTGGAGATGAAAATCAGTGAAAAAAAATTCATAAGTATGCCAAACAATAAAGCCAAAATCTACTCTTCCTTGAAGCTTTTCTTCTCTCTTTGTAAAAACATGAAGTATTTTTTTTCTTTCTTTGTGGCTATTTAACTTAGCCAAATATCCATTCAAATGGAAGGTCAAGTATTCAATAATGCAAACTGACTCAGAGACCACAGGGCGTGTAGATTTTTACGGTAAAATTATGGAATGTTTGGCAAGGAAGAAGCTGCAAAAAGACATACATTGTACATATATAAAATGTAAAGTATGTTTAATAAATGAATGGAGGGGATCATCCTCAAATTGTAGACTTAAGTACATTATACGTACATTTACTGTAGACACTTTGAGTGCTTGTGCCAACCAGAAGAGTTGTTATTAGTTTTCACATACAGGTTTGTAATTTATGGAAACCCAACATTCATGTAATATCCTTCAGTCCCTCCAATCAAACACTTGATGACAAATTTATTGTACATGTACTCACTTCAATGAAAATATTGTAAGAGTAAATACCTGAGCTCCACCTGCGGGCATACCGTGCACACTTTTCAAATTCTTTTAATACCTTTTTGGTTGGGTGCACTCTGCAGGTATATAAGACTGCTGCGCGCATTGGGGCGTTGGTCATTCTTCCGGTTACTTTATTTTTTGTAGCCACTTTTACGTTTGGGTTTCTTTGCCTTAGCCATGCTCTCTCCTCCAGCCCGGCATCTGCACTGGTCTTATCACTTGTGTTACCTGATGTTATAATTTATTTACATTTGTTAATTTGCCTTCTGGATATCTTTGTAAATACTCATTTGCTTTTTGTGATTTCAATACTAAAGTTGGGAGGCGCCCCCAAAGTCTGTCTTGTTGCCATGTGCTTTTTTTGAGGGTTGTTAGTTTGTTTTCATTTTCCCACGCCACGGCCTGCTTGGCTTGTTCCGATATCAAAGGAATTCTTGTCGATTTGAAATAAATGTCATGTGCATGTGGAATCATTGTAGGAATTAAATGTTTATAAATTTGCCATGATTGATAGTCAATTTCTCCACATAGTTTCAAAGGGTTTGTCCATTACAAATGAAGCTTCCATTACTGTGTACTACACAAGTGTTTCAAGGGGCCGAGAGAACAGTAATTTTTGTGTGGCACTCATGTTTTTGAGCTGGGGAATGGGGAGAATGACCTTAGAATTGAAAATAGTCTATTCAGTCACTTCTTGGAGTGCAAAAATGACTCATTTTGAAGTGACAAGGAATTAAATATTTTGAAATGGTTCCATTGACCCTGGCCAGCGCAGGCATGTGTACCTCAAAACTACAGCTATGGATGTGACCTTTCACAGACTACTCACACACAAAACAAGTGGGCATTGGAGTTCAGATGTGATGTTTATTAACTACACGATGAGCCTGACAAATCATATCACATCCCAGTACACCCAACCCTGTACACAAAATGCATGTATATGTTGCCTTCCGTGTCTCTTATGTAGCCCAAACTTCTGCATGGCATTGTTTTCTTTAAACTGCCCTGCATTTGTGCATGTATAAAGAGCGAAGGGTAAAAACACTAGTCATTACCGTCTTGGCAAGAAACAGCCTGGCTTCGCAATTGAAATGCCATTTTGTTGCTGGTATTTGGGTAATTCTGAGCATTATGCTACTTGTATTTTATATTCTGGGATTCTGGGAATGTGAAGTACGGTGAGCTGTATACATGTACATAGAAAAAAGTCTGTACATTTTGCTTTTAAAGATACACTGTGCAGTTAAAATCTTTTCCTGCCAGTAAATTTTTCACCAGAGAGAACTGTTGCACTTTTACTCAGGTCTGTATCCAACATCACTGCTTGCAAGGCAAGCAGTAAAGCAGATTGTAAAGCAGCGAGTGCCTAAATATGGTCTTCCTGTTCTCAGCTTCATGTGAAAACATTCCTGTAGTGGTTGTGAATTATATGCTTTAGCATTTGACAGCAAATGGTAAAACCGGGCCATAATAAGTAAGCATGGATGAGGGGCAGCACAGTATGCTTGACTGGACTGTTTTTGTGCACTAAGACAGTGGAAATATGGGTGATTCACAATAGTGTGCCGCCAAGAGTTTGCAGTGCTGTGGCCTCTGTAGGCAGTGCACATTTGAATGGACCGACATGTCTGACAATGCGCATTTGGAGACCCTCGACACATTTTTCGCACTGTGATTGGCCATTGCATTGTAGACTTTTTTCGTTGTACTACAGTGAAACGCCTGTACTGTTCAACCAATAGAATCAAGTTCGAAATCTCTAGTAGCAGGTAAAGATGCAGACATGTAAACATACATAAAAGACATTTTAAATATTTCTTGCAATATGTCAAAATGGGCTTTGACATGAACTTCGCAAATGTTCTTTCAATCTTCCGTGAACTTGTGCATTAATTTCGTTCACAAAATCAGGAGCAAGCTCCTCAAGTTTATGCACAAAGATATCCCTCTCCCGATCCGACCACTCTGCAAACCACTCCGAGAAGAGTTTCAGCTGACACTGGAAAATGCTGGGCGGTTTGTCGTTCACTTTGAGTGTCTCCATGGCGTCCAAGAGACTACTGACATCAGGCGGAGTGGCCTTGTTGACCAGGTCTGCCATGAAGTCCCGCCTCTCGTAGTGGCTCCACGTTGTGAACCAGTGAATCACTGTTCGCAGTTCTTGCTGGAAAACATGGGCTGCCATTTCTTCCCTGCTGGGTGCCGAGGCAGCGGCTGCCATGATGGCTAATTACCCTGTGCATTCCACACTCGACTCTGAAATCAAAAACATGGATAATCTATCACTGAATGCTGATTCACTCCACAGATGGTTCACAAGCTGGTTGAAAAGCAAGCAATTCTGATAACTGATGGAGGCCCTCTCATCACAACACACAATGCATGTCAGAATTCTACACTTGTTGGTAATCAATTATGACACAACAAAATTGAACAGAATCCCTTAACTGCAGGTGTGCGTCTATGGTTCTACCTCTTGGAGTGATAATTAGCCCCATACCATAGTTCTAGAGGAAATGGTCCAAAGCAACAGGCATGACAGAGTCTGCTCTTTTTATTTAATGTCACAGGTCAGCTTCTTTGCTAGTATAGGGGCTGGCAAAACGGAAAGAATGTTGTATCCTGATGCTACTTCAACGGTTGTTTATAGGCCAAGTATTTCCTAACGAGGCCTATAATAATGCTAAAGGGAAATTTTTCTCAGTCCCAGATTCGTGTCTTTTCAGCATTTCAGCAAATGTGCAATGATTGACCTTTATTGAGAAGACACGAAGCAGGATGCAGCATTCTTTCCCCTGCAAACCAGGGGAAGAGTTCCATATACGGACACCACTTGACACTCTGTGCACAACCCTATGGCACTGGTTTGAAAAATTTTAACTATTTTCTCAGTAAATCAATTGATATTTTCCTCCTAAATTTAACTTTACTGGGCATTATTTTTGCTTTCTGATGGCTAATGGTCACTGTAGCTCTTCCCCAAACAAGCCCTCTTTTATTTACCATTGGCGGCGGAGCTGGATTTTCCAGGCTAGTTTGAACATGGAGGGTTTTTCAAGTCAGACCACACAACTTGAAATTGCGAAGTACATCACACAGCCGGCCGGTGCCTACATGTTGTGCCATTTGCACCGTACCTGTGCACTTTGCACTATCTACGTGTACATGTACTGTGCAATGGACCCGGCGATCTAGGATGCTCTGAGAACAAGGCTGACACATGCAAGATGGCGGCCCCCACGGTGACAACGACCGTAACACTGCGATCCGGTGAGAAGCAGGAATTTTGCCATCCAATCGATAGTAATAATGGTACAGTCACGTATCAGAAGTTAAGGGAATCATTACAGATTGTACAGAGTCAGGTTAACGAGTACCTTACCGTTCAAGTTGATCTTGAGAAGGGTTCGAATCAGCAGAACAGTTCGCGCAATGATAATGATGAGAATGTCGATGGTGAATCTAAAGGTTCGTAGCATAAGATCAACAGGGGAGCTGTATTTTACATAGTTTTATGTCAACCAGTTTTTTAGTTGTACCACGGAGAAATAAAGGACTGGTGCAGAAAAAATCCGAGAAATAATCAGCCATTCATTTTCAGTAGGGGCTCAGAAGTTAGAAAACCATCTAATGCATGAGGTCTCACATGTCTTGAAATTGTAAGCTGTAGTGTATTTTTGAGAAACATGTACCGAAGGCCATGAACATGTTGGGCACGATAAGTTGAAATGTGCTATCATACATGATCAGTGGATCTTTCTCCACGAGTTTTCAATATTCCATAATCAGCCAGTAACTTGGCGTTAGCAGAAATACTCAATCAAAGTTAATCTTGAGACAAAACAACATTTCAAACATCATTTCAGTGAGCTGCAACAGCTCTCTCTCATGCGAACAATCAATCTAATTTCAAAATCAAGACAAACTCACTCGTGCAAAAAAACTTCGTTTGCTCACAGGTGAAAGGGAGGAAGATGAAGATGAAACAAATGAAATGGGACAAGGAGATCGAGAACCACCCCAGAAGAAACCCAAAACATGAAGTCAAATGTGACCACCCTGTTTTCTAAACTTGTATTCACAAGCAAAACTGAAGTCACAGCATGGACAAACTGGTGAATGCTCATGGCCTGGAGACTTAGGATTTGAAAGTAGCTGCTGATGCTCAGTGACAGTCAGTGAGAGACAAATGCGAGAGAGAAGGATTTAAGGCACATTTAGCAGCAATGTTGGGAGAGGGGAGACTCATAGACTTCATTTGAGCTCTAGAAGTCAAAGAGAACTGTATTTTTTTTTCAAAAACACGATATAGGTGAGTGGCAGAACCCTCTTCTTGCTGCTGTGAACTGAGCTACCATGGACAAGTCATTTGCATTTTGGCTGAATTGTGAATTTGTCTGTGTTGCCTTTCCCAAGTAAATCCAAAAGATGGATACTCACTGTGCTCATTTCCCATCCTAATCATGGATCATGGCAAAGCCTGATCAGAGGCTTTTTATTTGAAATGTGTGGCAAATTTTAGGCTTTAATAAGTGTTTTGAGGCTTCTCCTGCCTTCTTTTAAAGGTATGGACAAGACAAGATTCAGACTGACATCTAAGTATAAAACTTGAGAGTTTTTAATCTAAACTGACTTCATTTGAACCCATTTGCCTCCCCTCGAGTGACAACACCAGGCATGGACTGGAAAGGAGTACATGCGTACATATATCCAAGTACGTACATGTATGACTTCCATAGCATGTGCAATGCAGACAGTCATATTCAAGTGTGATTGGGCATATCCCCAAAAAAATGTGTTTTGAGAGATTGTGTCTCTAAAAAAATCCCTGCAAACTCAGTTTGGAGAGTAGTTTCTACCTCAATCCAGAATGAAAAGATTATCAAAACTGTTCAAATATCAAACTACAGTTGAAGGGATTAGCTGCCATAATGTCAATTTTTCTATTCCACCACCACATGGCTAGTTTTGGCCATTTAACTTGATTAATTTCACCTATATTGTAAAACGGAGCATTAGATTGTTATTAAGGCCACGGGCTGCTCAGCCAGCTTGACCCTAGAAAAAGAACAATTACTTTTGGTTGTCCAGCTTGTTGTGAGGACACACTTGGTATTTCACTCATTTTCAAGGATTAGGAGTATGCCAACTTGTGTTTCTCAAAACCATTTAGAATTGTAGTTCTGCCGATACACTATAGCTGTAACTTCAGCAGCACCATAAACGACAAGTCATTAGTCTGATTTCAGTTGTAACTCCATTGTGCACATTATATTCAGTGCAAGACTTTGGTACTTCATCTCCCATTAGCTGTAATTAAAATCTGACGGAGGAATGTTTATTAAAGATTAAACATTAGAATGACCAGAAACAAAACTCAAAAGTAACACGAATGGTGCTTGATTGTGGAAGAACCCGTATACACATGCAGGAGAGATAAGTAAAATTGAATTTGGGTATTTATTAGTAAATATTAGGTGGTATTTAGTTTTGGGTAAGGGTTGTGCACAGATGAAAGACAAAAGAAGTCAATCCAAATTCACCAATTAAATTATATACATACATGTACTGTATACCATCAACCAAATTTTGTTCGATATATCTGATGAATATTATTTTGTGGAGTTGAGTGAAAATTAAAGCCCGTTCTTAGACGCGATTAAGGCGTGTGATTTAGGTGTCACAAGCTCTCTGTGTTTATACATTCCTGGCACTCATCTCGAGCCTGGGTGCTGCTCACTTTGATGAGCCATTCCTAGTTCCATGGTAAATCCTGGGAGGCGATACAATGCAGTGATTGCTCCTCATTTTTTCCTTGATATACATGTACAGTACATTCTGGAATGCCAGCCAACCCCGGGGTGATGACTGCCACACAGAGCTCCCGGTACTGCTGTACGTACATGTAGATTGTTGTTGGAAGTAGCTGAGGTTGGAGGTCATTGACCCTTACCTCTGGATTTGTTTATCGTTGCTTAGTTACGAGAAAAAAAACATAATCGGTGTTGTAAACCGGCTTCCTGCCTCTGTGCAGGGTTGATGAATATCAATGTGTACATTCCATATTTGCATAAACATGATCGGGCTGAAGTAAGTAAAATTCAAAAGAGTAATTCTTCTACACTTTTCTAAAGTGGCTTAAACACGAGGAATCATGACTTTATAGTATTTTAATCAAATCCTCTCTGTCAAAGTCTGGTTAAAGACGTAAGAGCTCGTGTGTGTCTTATGTATGGTAAAATGCGTCACCGTTTACCTGTGCTCTGTTTTTCATTTTTGTTTTAAAGTCCAATGTTGCAGTTGTTCATTCAGAAAGGAAGGTAATATAACTTGATTCGGCCTTCTTTGAAGTGCTAATTATTCATGCGTAATACAAAAACGACTCAAGACAAAGGTGTTTAGTACGGTGCTTGTGCTCTGTTGCCTACTGCATTCGCTCAAGGTCCACGGGAACCGACGCAGATGTTCAAATAACACCGTTTAGCCATCTCTAACGAGTATTTATCATTTCTAGACGTCATCGAGCCTATGTAGCCGTTCAAACAGCCGCCCGTGTCACTAATTAACCAAGCTTATTTTGTTCTTCAAGATAATTGAAAAATGCCGATTCAAACCAGTCGGCGAAATTCTCACCCAGCTTGGCCGTATCGCCTAGTGTGTGGAGTAGATCACCGTAAGTAGTGTAGCTCGGAATCCGAAATTTCCGGTGGCCACGCCATCCACTGCACACTTGCTCATCATCACCTCGATACGTATTGGCATAACAAACCTCGTGATTGTCCCAGTTATCACCGAGAGTTGTAGTGCTTGGGGTAATGAGAAGGGTCCAGAACTGTTCTTCATTCGGTTATTAACATGGTAAGTGTGGCTAAGATACTTTCTTGTTCATGTAAGACCAATGAGCGAGTTCCGTTTCACTGCAAATACTGTGTGCACAATTTTGCAAGCTGCCATGGAGTATTTTTTTTTTATACTGTTAACGACTTTTACCAAATTGACATGCAATATTCAGCTCCAAAACATTTTTTTTCAAAGAGATGGCTCCTAAACATGTTTACAAAGGGATAATAAGATTCTTTTTAATTGCCTGAAACAACTTTTAAGGTGAATAAATGGCCTTAAAACACAAACATTCACGTTAGTAAAGTTAAGTAAATAAATTATTAAATAAATTATTATCTTCTGCAGTTAATATTTCGCCAATTGCCGAAGGTTACCTCAATAAAACAGATGTTTCTTTTTCACAAGGCCATATTACATTATTGTTCTAAACTGAGATCAACGATATTACGTTGTGGTAGGAAAACCCTTTTAAACAAACATCATGCCGGTTAGTAAAATCATTATATGATCACGGTATGCATTCGATTTTAGACGATGATGATTTTCTCGTTTTTTGCTTTGCTATCTTCTACAACCATTTATACCATGGAAAGTGTTAACAGGAAATTCTCCTTGAGCGATATTCACTCAATAATCATCCATTTTTTTGATGACAGAAGACATACCCCACCGAAATCCCCATAGTTCCGGGGGAAGTCACCACAAACACGGGGTCCGGAATGGCTGAGCAGACACTGGATGCGACTGTAGCTAAGGTGCTTGCAGAGAGAGACGTGAAAGAAGGCATCCTGGCACTACAGGACAGACTCAGGGTAAGTTTCTCGGAATTCAATCGCAGTATATTGGTTTAACCTCTTTGACAACGAGACATGAATGATGCGCCAATTGACTATACTCGTCTACCCCCCCCTTCCTCGTAGCAGCAGCTTGAGATGAAGTTGAGCGACTGTACCGAGCTGTATCAGAGAAGACGTCAGTTGAGAGCAAGGAAACGGACAGAGGCCCGCGTGGCCCGTGTATGCAACGCTCTCCTGGTGTGCTCCATCGTCATGTTAATTGCTTCGCACCTGATCAGATGGCTGAAGGGTCCATACGATCCGTGTGCTACTGTATGACGATCATCTTCAGCTTGCACCACAGTGCTTTGAGAGACTATACTATGAGGAGGCAAGAGTAGATCCAAAATCGGAGGGGGGGTGTTTCGAGTTGAGGGGAATTTTCAATTTTAGCATGTAACCTTTTCTGGCCTTTCAGAGGATTGAGGCTAAATATCTGGGCTTTTTATACAGGCTTTTTGAAGGAACAGAAGTGGAATACATGCAGTCCCAAACATCGCCTTTCATTTTTTGAAAAAGTGCTCCTTTATTGGGGACATTGGCGTCCCTGTTGGCCCCCTAGATCTGCCAATGTACGGAGACTACCGGTACATCACATCTGCAACCTTCGAATGAAGACATAATCAGTGTATATGGATGAATGCATGGCAGTGAACCAAAGGCTTTCGCAAAAAGAGATCAACCATGGCTCTGTGTAAATGTTATACGGTGCCGAAGTGGAAGTCGAACCACGTGGAGAGAAGATGGTGAAGGACAGTTCAGTTTTTAAAGCAGTACGAGCCCACCGGTAAACATACTGGGAAATCTGGAATGAGAGAAGTAGCACATTGCGTCAACAAAGCCTGCCAAAACACACCAGAGATCGGTAAACTTTAAAACTGCAGAAGAAAGGTATGGAGGTACTGAAATGGGCTGGCTAATAAAAACTGGATTGTATAGGAAAAGGAAATGTCACTGTTGAGAGGAAAGTGCATGCATTCAATCACAGAAAAATTGTGAGTAATAATCTCAGGACCTCACAAACGTCAGGAAAACCATATAAGCACAGTGATTGCTCTGAAACTCATCAACGATCGTATAGCGCCGCTACGCGGCTATATGATCTTTGGTTTTGAGTCATATTGATGCACTTACACATGCCAATGAATGGCGAAAATCCAAGTTGAGACAATGCCTTGAGCCCGACCACGTCCTGTCTGAAAAGAAACACCAATCACTGAGGCACCTTCGTGAACAGAAGCTGGGTAATGGATTTGTGGGTTTGTGGATTTGTGGCTGATCCAAATTTGGATAACATCACGACGCGATTCGCCATAGCTTGGTATTGATGCACATCAAGCCTGATAATTTATAATAAATAATTTCCAAACAGAGCTGCATATAGGGAGAGTATCGCCAACTTGAGACTTTGTAACCAAATTTGCTGTTAGTCCATTTGCTGTGACGGCATAATACACCATTTGGGTTCCATCAATAAATTGAGACGCTAATGTCGCAGCTCTCTCAACACAAAGGCCGATAGCTTTGCACTGTGATTGACTACATTGTGGACGACCTTTGACCGCGAGGTTATCACTTTCTGTTAGTGAAGCGTTATTTAATTTCTTTTTTGGTTCGCCAATAGCAAGGCTTTGGCACGGGTAAAGTGCCAGCTATATGATAAAAACATGGCCTTGGTACAATCACAGTGTGGTAATTTATCTTATCATTTAGTGTCACTGATCACGTGTCTTTTGGCGATATATTTCGAATCATTGGTTATCTTGATCAATTTTGAAGGAACGAATGAAGTGTAGTGAGAATATTTTCAGCAATGAGGAAGAAAAAGAAAACTTGTCGAATTGATAACCGCCGCTTGTGAAAAGCATTGAGCGAGTGAACTCGCGCGCCTGGCAGAAATTTACACACAATGCTCTGCGCGTAGAGCACCGATCTCTATAGTATTTTATTATAGTGGTAGTTAGCTGTGACCCAGTGTGATGTATTTCCTTCACTAAAATCTGTGCAGGGCCATCAGCCCTTCCGAGCACCCCGTTTGGGCGCTGGGCGACGAGCGAACATAAACTACGGCTTTCTGATTGGCAGCGGCGTATCCAGCTTTTGGTGGGGGGGGGGGCAAATTGAAAAGCAAATGCAGCTTCGGGCTCATTCAACATGACGTTGGGGAGAAAAAAATGCCTTATTCACGGTCACGACATCCTTGTTTTTATTTGCTGGTGTTATGTTCTTAAGGTTTTGGTATAGGGCCTATACCAATTACTTTCTTTCCTACTCACCTTTGGAAAAAAATCTGTCTCCCCCAATACGCCACTGTTGATTGGTTGTCAAAGGTAAGTGCGTCGGTTTACATGCTGCGTAGAGCCTCTCAAAGACACGTCAAGACACGGATCTTCTGACAAATAAATTCACAATTATCCACTCATACTCATGCACGTGACGGTTTAACGTACGTACGTTGTTACCATTGGCTTTAATAACTGTTTAAACGTAGCGGTCAAGTTATGAAATATAACTTGATTAGTTAGCTAACAATACCAACTTTACGAGGGAAAAAATAACCTTGTGTCCTTAATGATTTCGCTATGTAAAAGTGAGTAAACATTACATGGAAAAAGTACCTAGCATGATTTGTATCTAGAACCATCTGGTTATGACGCTAACACTTTACTAACTGAGCTATTTAACGCCATATCGGAAGAGAGAAGAAACAGACATACCGGTAAATTCTATTTTAAAAATAAAGGGGCACATTAACGCATTGAATAGTTGCGACAACAAAATTAGTCCAGATAGATAACAAGTACATGTACCACTAAATTTTTAATTTTTTTTCATTTTTTTAGTCTTTATAGAAGAAAATTTGTGTAAGTTTCTGGCATGTTAGGATTAATTTTAGGGCAATAAGAGCGTACTGACGAATGCAGGCCGATGCAGACTGTCAACTGCCCGACGTGGAGGGCGCTGTCTAATTATGTGTCAAGAATTGTGTGGTAAAACAAAATAATGGCAACGCCGGTAAATTGCCCTGCATACGAAGTGTTTTGTATTGGGAAAATGGCAGCTGCGTAAATCCCGGCAAATATATTTGGTTCGTGACCAAAATCCTTACATTGCCCAGCAATGGATATTAAAAGCGGGATGGGGCGACATTACATATGCACGCCCAAGCGGCACATAAGTTTCGATGTTTTTTAATATCGTTTAATAATGTTTTTAGATTTAATATTTGGGTTGTTGTAATGTTCGAAAATTATTTCCAAATCTACATTTTTGGTTCTCACTGGCATCGGCATATTTTCACATGCTCTACTGTATTCCTGAGGCCAGCACCCATTTTTACCTGACACTGAAGCGGCCATTTTGAACACGGAGCTGCCTACTGTGAAATTATATTGGTGTTCAGTGGTGAGTGTGTGTGAGCACACGTGTCAGCCTTACGGCGCAGACCCTCAGTTATCATGATTCGATTTGTTGGTCATGACGAAAGCAGCCTAGTGTTGGATAAAAATATTCATCGCTTCATCAGATGAAAATAGCTGTGAGAATTAAAAAATATATAAAGGATAATAAATACAGGAAAAACTCTACCGGCTCCAATTTTTTTGTTACGGTGCATTTTTGTACCTGAGACCAATATTCACAACAGTTTCAACATCCTGTACGGACGCACATGGCACGTTGACGGTACACGTATCCAATAGCAGAATTGGAACCCAAACCTTTGCAGTGTTTCGTTTACTTAGGAAGTGACACGGGGACCTATGGCATAAACACCGGTGCTATAAATATCTGAAAATGGGTACAAAGTAGTGAGCCAACCACAACCAACGCAAGGCAGCGCACAATATAGGGCAGTACAGTGCATGCTACAATATTGATTCCATTCCAGTTCACTTTTAAGTATTCTCAGTCGAGCATGGAAGTATGCCGTTGGCTTTCAACAAAGTACTTGAACAAATGACCAGCTGTTGCATAAACTGTAGTGTTCCTGCGCACTTGATGCTGCTATTAAAGTGTTTTCCTGCACAGTAATGAAATAGGCCTAGTTCGCAATAAGTCATGGCGCAAAACCTGCCCCCTGGTAAAACTATGGTTTCCACACATTTGAGCGGAGATCTTATTATACGAAGGGTTCACAGCGGCACAGAGAGCGGCGACATTAGCAAGGTAAGATAAAACAAATATCGCCAAAAAGTGGAATTCAGTTGCTAAAAAACAGGGTGTACGGACATTTTTGTGTGTTGTACGACCAGTTTTAAACATTTCACTGTATAGGCTTCTTATCCAGATGAACTGAGAAGTGGATGTGTGTGTTTTGGTCGGAGGTGGTGAGGTGATAATGATGGCACTTGAACAAGCGTCAGGAACCATACTCGTAGGACAATGATGAGGACCAATCTTTTCCACAAATCTGTCAGCGGCCGCAGCCAGGATTCTGAGCGGGCCGGGGGGGGGGCTTCACACTAAAGTGGGAGGGGGGGCTGACTGGATGTTAGACATATCCATGTATATAATCGTAATCACATCAGGATATGTAAGTGAGGGGGGCGACGATTTTTCATGGGGGGCGTGCGCCCCCACGCCCCCCCCCTTAACCACGCCGCTACACCGTGCAAAGATGCATTGTGGGTAAAGCGTTTATACGTACGATTTCACACCGCCAAAGCAGCGCTCATAGAAAAGCCATGGCAAAAAGTTGCCCTACAGAAAGAGCCAGGGCTCCGTCTGAAGCACTGCGATCGAAGTGCAAGGATACAAGCAGAAAATTAAAGATCAAAACGTTCTGGTTTATTTTCTGTTCAAATTTGATATTTATAAAAAAAATCCCCTCTATCCAAAACCACATCTAAATTACTACAAATTTGCTGGTCTTAGACTGGTCAGAATAGGGCTAATCTTCAGCGAACTTTTGTGACTGAAATTCCTCCCGTTGATGCTATCAGACCCAGAGTCAGCCTAGGTGTAACAACCACTGACCACCGGCCTCTTTGCTTGTTAGGGACTGGTTCAAGGAGAGAATCAGCGACTTAAAATTTTTCGCAAGCCCCAACAACCAGCAGTGTATAGTCCGAGGGGTAAGGAGTGCTCCCCCCCATATTTTCAAAGTGCCCATCTTGTATTTGAAATTTGATACAAACCTCCCAGCATCAGACGAAGGTGTGTGATTCACCAATATTGTCAATGTGTCCTCTCTACAGAGTGTAATTATGTCAGGCCACGTGGATATAGTTACAGGCCAATTAACTGGCTCAAAATTGCCAATGCCAACCAGAAAACACTTTGCACGCCCTATAAAAATCTGTTATTGGCGCGTTAGGTGCCCCATAAACTACATCATTAATCTTGTTTTAAAAGGTGGAAACTACCAAGAGAACTTCTAGTTTTTCTGTGAAGTTTGGATTAAGCTTTGCCGTAAAAATGCGTTATTTTGCAACTGTTTGGAGTGTCGGTATTTCTGGGAAAAGCTTGTCGTGATAATTGTCATTGCAGGGAAATCTTTCCTCAAATCATTACTGGATTACTCTCTGAAACTGAACAGAAATTGGAAAATGTCGAGATAAGCTTCAATCTCCATGCATGCCTCAGACACCTGAAGAAAGTGTATTTTCCCCGACCTTTCTAAAGTGAATTTTTGCCAATGAGAGTTCATTTATTGGGCTGCAGCCCGACAATCCATGTACGCACGCCCGCTTTGAAAAGTAATCGGTACCCCAGCAGGAAAATGATGCCCCTTGTGACCCCGTCCCTGTCCAAGGTACAATACCAGCAATTGGCTGAAAATTACCCGCCTGATATAATGAACAATTTACTAGAGTGAGGGCTTGATGTGTTTTGGCAATGTGGGCCGCACTCTCTGATACTGTCCGCCTTTTAAGTTAATAAAGAGATGATTTTCGTAAACATTTGTTTACTAATAGCCCCCATCTTAGCCAACCACCTCAAATTGCGTGGGCGTGGGACCGGCAAGGATTTGAATACTGGTTTCTGTCTTCCTCCGCCGTCCATGCTTACGTGAGCGATAACTCACTTTGCTTTGTGTTGTTACAGTATTTTGAAGTCGGACCGTCTTAATCCGTATACCGTGACCACTCCATACGAGGATCGCTAATTGCTTCAAGATGATTGTTTGGATAAAAGAAGGGCCGTCGTTACATGTCGTAAAAACGACCATGTATGTTGAATGTTCTAAATGATTTTGATGGGCCCGAGTTGATTTTTCTATAGATGCGTCGTCGACGTCTGCGGTCGATCGACAACACCCCCTTTGAACATCAGCTACGGGAAGAGAAACTTACCAAACAGAAGAGCGCCCTCAGAGAAGACTTCTCGCGACTCCACGACAAAGTCCAAAAACTGAAGGCAGTTCTGGCGCAACGGGGGAAATCGTACCGCGTAGGCGATGGGGAGACAAGGCAAGCTGTTCCCGCAAGAAAGCACAGTAGAGACACTGGGAGCGCCCAGGTACACGACAACTTGGACGCGGCATTGGATTCCTTGACCCATTTTTTCCTAGTGAGTTTGGCAACGCTACTTGCACTTTGGCTGGCCGTGAATCTCTTCAGAGGAGTGGCCGTCTATCTTTTGCCGGAGCTGTTCCTGGAGTGCGCCGTCGTGGAACCGGCTCCGCTAACGCTCGCTGACGCAGGAACGGAAGTGTCGCATTTGCAGGCGCGGACGACCTTGGCATGGCAGCTGCTCTTCGGGCGTCACCCGTGTCAGCCTGTCTATCTACCCTGCGGGGAGCACCATCAAGTTCAGTGAGTGGTTTGGCACCTGACTATGTTCATATCAGTCATTTTTGTCTGAGCGCAAACTCTATACTTCTGATGCAAGGTGATGATCAACTGTCGTCATATGCAAACTACCTCAGTTATAATTATCATCTAGAACTTGCTCGCTTATACGAGTGTTCGATTTTTCTGAACGAGACACATAAAGGATATTTACATCTCGGATCTTGTCCTATAGTTTGACTACAGCCAGATGAAGAACTTCATTATGCTTAGTCTCTCTGTTTCGCCCCAAAGTCAGTTTGTATTAGCCAATATTTGTATTAGCTGTATCTCTCTGAAACCACTTACCGTCATCATGACAAGATATCAGCAGCCTTCCACATACGGCACTGAATGAACTTGTCCAAAACTTGGCCTATTCCTGAACCCTAAAATGCCATTTGAATAAAAGGAAATGCGTGGCGGAGCTATTCGGTAAGAGCCATATCTTACCGATACCGCCATCTTGAAGAAGTGCACTTGAGGCACCAGGCGCTATAAGACAAAATTTGACTGAAGCAACGGCTTTACGCAACGCAGAGATGTGTCTTACTGACTTTTTATGTCAACCCGCATGCAATCTATGCTTTGTACCACCCTGGCAGAATTCTATATATAAGTATAAGCGTGGTAATGGCAGCTCAAAAAGTCTTTCAGAATTGGTAAATAACCAAATAAACCCAAATTGCTGTCTTTCAAGAAATATTACCTGACTGCCAACAGTGGCTGTTATTGTATGTAATTCAACTGTAAATGATTTGCCCTTCTACAAAATGACATTATTGCACCATAATGCGATGGTTTACATTTTCACAAATCTAGTAACAAATTTTGTCAGTGTAACCATATGAAGAAGCCGGGACAGCCCAGTGATCCCCTGTGGTTCCTTCCCTGCGTCCCAATGTGGAGTAGAAAAATTGAGGTGATCGGAAATCACTGACGATTGGATTCCCCTCATTCACAAACTGAGAGGCCCCCAACCTCCTTGCAAATTAGGCCTTGGAGTTACACCACCGATAACTTACTGATGACTTAAGAAAATTATTGGACGGCTGAAAATGTTTCAAAGGATATATCTTTACTATGTAAAAATGCTTAAATTCTAAAAGTACAGAAATGTACAATGGTGCTTCATTTAAAAAGAAAATACTGTAAGTTGGACAAATATGGACAATACAACTTTCAGGCCTACATATACACGCCGTTCTGAAGACACTGATACGTTTGATGACTGTCTACGAACTCGCTGATCTTGGACTCGACAAGTTAAACCACGAACAGGATTAAACCTTTACCATCAGAATGCGATTTGCGGGTTTCTTCTCAATTTTTGCATCAGGCTGAGCATAAATGGTAGCGAGAAACACCTCCTATCCATAAAAGGTCATCTGGCGAGCATTTGACGTATGACATTGCATTATGTTTGAAATTCTGAAGAAAATGACAAAATAGCAGGCTTATAGCAACCAAAAAAAATCCCAAATTTGACTGCATGGAGTTAGATATACGATCCTCAAACCACTTGCAAAGTATCCAGTTGGAAAGGGTCATCAAAGGTCCAGAGTTGGGGGTCGAAGTTCTTACGGCACGTCGACAAAACAATCTTCAGACCCAAACGCTCTAGGCACCTGTTCTGCTTTCTGCTCCAGAGAATACTTTTCTCCTGTTGAGGAAATTATTATTTCTTTATTTGTTGTCGGTTTGCCATGGCTGTGCCGTGTATAGTGATTCCGACAGTCTGTCTCTAACGTATTAAAGTATTTTATTTCTAACGAAAATCACTAGAAGTTGAGATCACATATTTCAAGTCAACAGTTCAGTAACAGCATAAATTTTATAAAACAACACAACCAACCTGGCTATGCTGCCAATCCTTGATAACATTAGGACTGCCACAAGCTGTGATCATGACGCTCTGTCCTCGCTGACCCAGACAAAAATCATTCACTCGAATATCACCAGCAGTTGTCAAACGAAAAAACTGAGAAAAGACAAACAGTATAGATGGGATTTTTCAGTCCCTTTATAAGTGCATTTAACTTTAAGATAACTTCCGGCAGTAGTTAATCACCTTTGTGGCCGCTTATTTTAGGGCTGATAAGCACTAAAAGAATTATTGAGGATTAAGATGTGATTCCCGTTGAATGCGTTCGATATGATCAAAATGATGCTTGGTATCTTTTTGGAGAATCTTCGTTTGATTTCACATAAACGTCGTTCTGACAGACATTCTCATCTCGGTATTTGACGGCCAGTTTTCAAAATGGCAGCCGAAGGCCACAGAGGACCTTTTAAGAGTGGCTGTTTCAAAACGTTACCTAAGCCATAGTGCAGAATTTTGCAAAAAATTATACTTGTACATAAAAACCCAAATTTCCCACATATCCGCCTATTTCGCACGAACATCACACAAGTACATGTACATCTCAGACGAGAGCACGTCACAACACCCTTTATAGACCGCCGGGGTTTTTGGTTTGACCAAACTTGTACCGTAAACAAGATTAACCTCAGGATTTCTGAATGTGTGCAGAAATTCGATTATTAATCCTTTCCTGATTTAAATTACCTGATTACCGCCAGAGCCATGACATTTGTACATCGTCAACTCTACTCCTTCATCCACCGGCACCTGGTTCTTGGTGTCTAAGCAAAACTCTGTGTCCAGTGCCCGAATCTGCAGACACGGGAAAAATCGCATTAAAAGTTCCTGTTCAAACCATTCATCCTATTTGCCGGCTGTTACAAGTTTATACTGTAAAGCAAAATGCAACATCGCAACACTGACGCGGCCGTACAGCATGAGTTGAAACCGCTGAATTGAAATATCTGAGGGAAAAAGCTAGTTGATGCCGTGTGTTTGTAGTTTTCTGTGAAAGGTCTCGTTAAGAGGGTGCCTTAATAATGTGTTTTGATGATCCACCTCTGAAAATTTTTCAACGAAAAGACGGATTTCTGTGGTTTGGCTTTTACCTCTCCTGTAACCACAAGTTTGGGCGGAGGAGGGAAATTACTCAGCAAGTCATAGGCCACCTCTTTCAAGAACCAGCCGAAGCTGTGGCACTTCCGCTCCCGCCGAAAGGCGGCCTGTCTGCTCAGGTCCCCGATGTTGAAGGAGGGCGCCCTCATGTGGGGCCGGCTGGCGTAGAGGTAGTCTTTGTAGTCGTCCAGCCACACCTCGGCCACCCGAGCGTAATTCTATGTCGATGAAAGGGATTAGACTTTGATATAACTCGGAGGAGACATGGCATATTTTGCAATATCATGTTTTGTGTTCATGGACCGTATCAGACGCCACCGGCAATTTAAAGGACAGGGAGAACTGAGAGGAAACGCCTCAAAATTGTGTAAAGAGCGCAAATCCTTTTCTACGGCTAATTCTCCCTCCTTCAGAGCAGAAGTCATCTCAAATATGGGAATAAAATTTAATTTTTATCAATATTAAAAAATCAACACTTTCAATTTGGTCTACTTGGGGCTATATTTATTGGAAACACATGCACCAAAATATGGCAACATTTTTTCACAATGATACGTTGTATATTTCCGACGGATTCCCATTTCGCTTGCAGGAACTGATATCCATACTAAAGCATGGCTAAGTTCTAATAGATAATTAGAGTATGAAAACTTTATTTAACTCTGCCATTCGACCTTACCCTATCCCTATAAGTGCTGAGGCTTTCACGAGGGAGCGAGTATGGAGGAACGCCATTCACGTAATACACATGGCCAACGCGTGAACATGGCACCCACCACACGCTGCCTGAACCACACATCCATGCCTGTGGAAAAATTGGTACATTGACGTTAAGTATGAGGTTTTCAGTTAAGCGTAATGAAGATATTTTTAAGGCCGCATCTCCGGAAAGGACTGTCAGCGACGACTGCAATACTGAAATGAAAATCTGTAAAGGATCGTCACGTGCCGCGCTGCAAAACGGGAGGGGACAAGTTTGGGTATAGTTCAGATTGACCATATTTGGGTCATTTTCCCTGGGGTTTAAAGCTGAACATTTGGCGTAAAGGGTGAGCAATTATACTAGTATTGGGAAATCAGTTGTCTATCATAACATATTTTACGGTCCTGCGGAATATATTAAAGTTAATTTAAAGTGCCATTTCATGTAGGGACCAGAGTTACGTTTGCCGTTACCAGAGATAATTTATCTCTTGTTTAACCAATTTTCACCGTCCTAATTTTGCTTCTATCAGCGTCCATCAGCGTCAGTCTCCATCCCGTTGCAATCTGTTCCACTGATGTCTTGCTTATGATTAGAGGAGCGGTGGCGTATTCGGGGAGGGGAAACAATACGTTGACCCCTGGAGACATGTTGCCATTTTTAAGAAACCGAAAGCTCCAACACTTTAGAACGCGTACTACCCATACTCCTTAGAGGAGGTAAGGATTTCTTTTTAGATAAAGAAAACTGGGCATCGTCGGGGAGCCATTGGCATCCACTCCTATACTGTTACACATGCTGCACGCACATGCGGTTGTGGAGATCATGAACCGAAATTTTTCGTTCTCGGGGGTAACCCTTTGAATGTCATAATCCTCAAGATTAATCAAAACCGATAAATCAAAATGCCAGCACTCCCATTCCATTTAAAGCTAAATATCCAAACGAAACTGTCAAAGTGAATGATGGGGGCTTATGTGCCTTGGAGTTGCGCGCCGGCAGGACTTGCCCTGCACGTGCATACAACCCGAGATTGCCCTGGCTCTGCAAGTCAAGGCTTAACCTCTTTACCTTGAAGGAAAGTTCGTAGTTCTCTCCGCCGTACATTTTGAGTCCAGGATCATAGCCGCCTAGTTCGAAGAAGAAGGATTTGTACATTGCAAAGACAGTGCCAGAAAATACAGGGGACCTAAGTGTAGAGAATGGGAAAATACAGAAATAAACTTTACTCCAGGCGTCAGCGCCAGATTGTTTCATTAGTATTTAACAACAGCTGTACTTTTAAATACGGATGGTCGTAATGTGTTAAAACAAAGCACGATCTTCCATTTTAATTCCATTGTTTAACATACATGTATATTCAAAGCAAAATGTGTTATGAAACAAATTCGTCCAAGTCTTTTCAGGTCTTTGGATGTCTGCTTCGCATCACACGTACCCTTGTGGGTATACTTCTGATTTCTTAGAGGGTTTTTCACCCTGTTGCCATAGAACATGAAGCCCAAGAATTCATTTTGTTTGTTCCAACTTAACTGTCTTGCCAGCTACCCCCCTTCAGATTAAGATCGTGTCTCTTTAGTGCATGACAATGGCTGATGTTTGTGCAATCAAGCGAGCTCTTTTTAAATTTTGTATGCGAGGTTTCGTAATCTTTTAAGTTTCTCAATTTCTTCTCTTGAGGAATGTTTGACCAATTTTCCTATAGGCATTCCTAATTTTAAAATGTCAAGATAGGCTACCCCTTCCTTAAAAATGTGTGGAACGCCGACAGGAATTTGAAAAAAATTTTGGGGGCCATCCTTTCACTGCTCAAAGTCATTCCCGCTTGGATAAAGTGAAAGCAAACAGATGAATATTTTATTAAACGAATAAGCAAAGAATAAAATAGGAAATGTTAATTCCCTCTTCCACCTTACTGTTATTATAAAACTATGATAAAAAATTATGGTCGTAATAAAAACAGAAGATAAGCTACCCGTGATAAAACCACACGTTCTGCGGCGTTTGGGACGCACATTGAAATAAAAGTATATTTCTTAACCTTTTATTTTCGGTTCATTTTTTGTCAGTTAACAAACATGACTTTGGGAAAAGTTCCCATCCAAAGATGATCATCACTAATAGACTTCTTGTAAACACTCCATTGCAAAATAGAACCATTCGAATCGAGGGTCCCTTTGTGTGTAAGCCGCTGGTCCTGTTAGTGACCACTTTCTTTCTGTTCTACAAACCCTCCATTCAAGGGCCAAAGAATGCTCTATAGTGGGCTATTTCGGACATGTAACAAGATATTTCTTAATTTACCGTACCTGTAAGGCTCTGTTTTGTAACGGCGACCCTTTCTCTCCCGGTCCGGTAAGCCCGGGACCCGCTTGTAGTCCAACCGCCAATCGAACATGCCCCTTGCCAGCCTGCCATCGCCTTGTGGGTACAGCCGATAATCCATGTTATCGATAACATCGAGTATCGGTACAACAATCGAAGACCTAATAGAAAAAGATACGTCATCTTCCTTGAAATGGCTGTTATGGTTTTCATCATTGGAAAGAAAAATAATTTCCTGGATAATCAGAAACACTAACCAATATGTCGGACTCAATTTAATGATATTATTGAAATGCAGCATGTATTGCAAAAAAATTTAACCTCCCCGGCAGGGAATTGAACCCCGGTGTCCCAACTGACAGTCAAAGATACTAACCACTATACTACCGAGGACAGACACCAAAGTGAAACCATTTCGTCCTTTTCATTTGTATATTTTGGTATGTAAAGAAAAAGTAGAGGTCTCCTCGGCGGGGAATCGAACCCCGGTCTCCTGAGTGACAGTCAGAGATACTAACCACTATACTACCGAGGACTGATGCCAAAGTGAACCCATTTTGTCCTTTTCATTTTAAAGGTGTCAAGTATCACGATGTATTTCTTGGATATAAAGGGGAAAAAAAGCAAAGGTCTCCCCGGCGGGGAATCGAACCCCGGTCTCCTGAGTGACAGTCAGAGATACTAACCACTATACTACCGAGGACTGATGCCCAAGAGAACCCATTTTGTCCTTTTCATTTTAAAGGTGTCAAGTATCACGATGTATTTCTTGCGTATAAAGGAAAAAAAAGTAAAGGTCTCCCCGGCGGGGAATCGAACCCCGGTCTCCTGAGTGACAGCCAGAGATACTAACCTCTATACTACCCAGCACAGATGCCACAGTAAAACCATTTCATCATTTTCATTTTAAAGGTGTCAAGTATCACGATGTAAATTTGGGTATATAAAGGGAAAAAAAGGATAGGTCTCCCCGGCGGGGAATCGAACCCC